ATTCCAGTAAGCACAAAAGGAGACTAAGCTGTACTGTCTGTAATTGGAATTATATTAACAATGAAGTGCTCTCGCTGCATTTTTGTCCATCCTTCTCTCTAGGTATTTGTAATTGGAAATTTTTTATCATTTAAGAGATTTTCACAAGTGTCTATACTAGAACGTTAGTATTTATATTCAGTTGCTTCTGGAAATTGATGTCCTGACACTCCACAACCATCAAGAAACTCCAAGAAGTTTTGGCATCACTCCTATTTCTTCTACAGTCAGGTAACACCAACTCCCAATTACCTCACCATCATCTAACGTCTATTTAGAATTCTATTCCTCTACCTTGCAAATGACAATCATGATTGAATCAGAAGCACACACTACCTGCTCCCATGGAAGGTTAGATCTACATCTAGAAGACTGACACCATCAGCAAACTTCAGATGGTTAAACCCTTCCACGTGAACTGTTTTCCAGAGATCATTTATGCCTCTACCCATCTGTCACGCCATGATCTCTCAGGTTTTCTCCAATTTGATTTTATCCATCTGTTGAAGCAGTGCAGTTCGGTGCTAGGGAATGCTGATTCCTTCCACATACTATGATAACATGTGGTACATACAATGATGTTATCACAGATATGTAGTTTACCACTGGTTTTGAATTTTTACTAGGCATTGGTATAATTCTTCTCAAATCCTATTGTCCTGGTTTTGGTCGGGATACTACTGCATAGTAGCTGGTACAGTGCTGTGTTCTGATTTTAGGATGAAAATAATGTTCACAACACCCTGATGTTTTAGTTGTTCAGGAGTAACACTACATTAAAGATTTTTCAGCTTCTCATACTGCCCTGCCAGCAAGGAGGCTGGGGGTGCACAAGAAGCTGGGGGGGACACAGCTGGGACAGCTGACCCCAGCTGACCACAGAGATATCCCATACCATATGGTGTCATGCTCAGCATTTAAACTGGGGGACTTGGCCAAGGGATGGCAGGCCACTGATTGGGAACTGGCTTGGCACTGGAGAGCAGGTGGTGAGCAATTGCACTGTCCATAATTTTTGTACGTTGTTCATTATTATTATTATTAATATTATTATTATTATTATTATTTTCCTTTCCTTTTCTTTCCAATGAAATTGTATTTTTCTTAACTCATGAGCTTTACCTCTTTTCCGGTTCTCTTCCCCAACCCACTGCAGGGCAGTGAGCAAGTGGCTGTGTCGTGTTTAGCTTCCTACTGGGTTAAATCATTCTTCACCATCGTTACAGAATACTACATAGACATCTTTTGGGATATTCAGGCAAATTGTTCTCTGAAGTGAAAAAGGCCAATAAAGACCCTCGTGTCAATACTTCTATACTATTCAGACAATTCTTTGAAACAGAAATTGTTGCATCTTTATTCTCCAAGCAAGTATCATTTAATTAGCACTTAGTAACATCTGAAGCGAGCTGCTGAAAATAATTTTATTTACAGATGATGAAAAGATTCCAGGAACCTGACAGGCCTGTCTTTTCTTTGTCCCTCTTGACAATTATCTTGACTTTCTGTCAGGCTCTGTTATAGCTGCAACAGAACTGCTTGGTTGAGATCCTCCATCTTTACAATTTATTTTTTTTTTTTTTTAACTTGGCCAGGCAGAAAGTTGTTTTGCAGCTAGATTTCCTAGTTGCCATCTTGCTTAACAGTATTGAGCAAATAAACTCAAGCCTTCCTAATCTCTCCTGGCCTTTCTTCACTGCCTCGTGCTTCAGGCTCAGAGCCATAGGCTTGTGGCAAAATTTCTGTTTGTTCATCTCAGAAAATGTTTCACTACGTTGTCACTTGCTGGGCCTTGCAGTTCATACATCTTTCAGAGTCATTTACTGTTACAGGGAACAAGTTTGTCATTGAAGAGACATCTGTCCTGGGCAAGCCCCAGCACTGGGATACTGCATTATTCATCCAGACAGTTATCATATTCCTGTGGTGACATCTGAAGCCTTGCAGGTCTATTTTCTACTCAGTTTGCAGTGGGTGGAGGCATGGGAATCTTACCAGAATGCTGCAGTGTTTTTCCTTGTTTCCCATGCTGTATTACAAGGTGCAGGTTGCATTCAGCACACAGCTGGTGTCATCCTTCGGTTACTCAGTGACCATGTCACTTCTATCCAAGAGGATGGAGCCCTTTTTTTCCATGCTATGTATGATGGCTTGAGACAACAGTCTCCTGCTCTGATGCTCTCACCTTATGCAGGACTTATGCATAAGAACTATGCAGCGTCAAATACTGGTACTAAACTTATTTATTTATCAGTCAGTTGATCACGAGAAGCTATAAATATTGTTAAAAATACATTTGTGATTAATAAAAAGCTATCTGTTTAATGTATTTTCCAACATCACTGGTTGAGATAATGACTTACTGAACATTTGGGGAAGAAATATTTTTAAATTCAATTTTAGAAAAAGATAATTCTTGAACAAATGCACAACTTTATTACCTAAATTAGTATCATGAGTGTTAGTGAAAGAAAGGAGATTTAAATTAGCTATTTGGCTAGCATGATTTAAAACGTAAGGATTTTGACTATACCTAGCAGCCAAAAACTCCTGAATCTGTTAACAGAAATGAACCCAACAGGAAATATAAATCCCTTTAAAATGTGATTAGTGTTTGTATATGGGAGGAAGTGTTTGCTATCGTTTGGTGTGTTTTAGTCTCTTCCCATTTGTTCCTTCCTTAGTGTTAAATAACTAATACAAAGGTACACCTAAAGAAAATATATTTTATCATGAAACATGGATTTGAAATAAATCCTAACCAAAAAACTAAGACATCTGAAAAACCTAGGCTAGAATTAAAAGGAACAGAAAATTTTGCTTCTGGGAGAAACATTTAATTAATTGTAAATCAGGACATCTACACAGAATATCATTTCCAGAGAAGCCCTGTTAGTATTTTTTCCAAACTGCCTTTTTATATCACAAACTTAAGGTCCAGTATAACTTTTTCAATTTTAAATGTAAAAACATGCTGGGGAAAGACATGTCCCAATCATAGGTGTGGACACAGGTATGGTTGTTTTTCTTCTCAAGTTTATGTCCACAAAGATAAGGGTACAAACTAATAATAGTACCAGTATAGCTGAGGTTCTGTGTTATATTCCAGATAACCAGATTTGTTTATGGGAGGAAATAAAGGTCATACTTAAAGCCAAATATGTCCTTAATACGTTAATTTTTAAGTCAGTGTCATCTGACACTGCCACCAAATAGCTAGTGGAACCTGGAAAACTTTTGCTTGATTATAGCTAATTTCCTTGAAGTGTGAGGTCCACAGACCCGGAGGTTTGTGTACAGCAGGAGGCTGTCCTGACTATGAGCAAGATATTATGTGGGAAAAAAAATTAGATTTCCTTTCAGTTTATTTTGTAGTTTTCCATAACTCATTGTAAAGGAGAATGTAATTTAATAAAACAGTATGAATATTCAAATAGCATGAGTTATCTGATCAACATACAAATTTTTCATGGAGTTTCCTGAATTGAAGGCAGTATTTTGGGGGACAGCGCAAGCTAAATGCAGCTTCAGGTGCTAAATTCTGGTCTAAAGACATACTAGACCTGGTGCTGGGTATACTTGAAGAACAGTGTGCTTAACTGAATTTGTTTCATCCTTCGAAAATAGAAATTTTACATCAATATTCTGTATTTCCTCAGTGGTACAACTCAGCTCCTGTGTTCTTTTCCCTTAAGTTTTTATAGAGCACATATGTAATAAATATAAAGCCATCCTTTCTACTGGATCCAGAGCAGGGCTATTAAGCAGTAATTATTTGCTGACTACAGACATGACAGTCTGTTCAATGAATAACCTTGAGGTGAACTGGACTGTCAGCTACCAACAGCCACTTTCAGACACAGTAACTCTACAGACTTTTAAGATCCTGCTATTGTGGATTTATGGAATAGATTCACAGAGAAGACATTTCTAATTGTCAAGTTTAACCCTAAGTGAAAGACTGTAATTGTTTAACAAATAGTAACAGATTTTAATGGCATTCGCCCTTATTGCTTGGTAGACTTTGAGAGAGAAAACCAGTGTAAGACATGGGGCTCTCACATAGCAGGCTGACTACTATGTGCAAAGTCTGAGAAAGCAGACAGTGGAAGAGAAGGGTTAGAGGGATCTTAATCCATGTGCATAAATACTTGGTGGGAGAGAATGAAGAAGAGTTCATCAGAAGATAGTAGGAAACTCAGTGGTTCTCTAGGACAGGATGAGACTTAATGGGCACAAACTGAAATAGAGGAAATTCCACATGAACATAAGGAAACACGATTTCATTGTGAGGGTGGTCAAACCCCTGAGCACGTTGCTCAGGGAGATCACGAAGTCTCCAGCCTCGGAAATACTCAAAACCCAAGTGGCCACGCTCCGGGGCAGGGGGTTGGACGGGATGACCTCCCGAGGTGCTGCCAGCCGCAGTCACTGTGACCGGGGAAAGACTAGGTAAGGAACGCTTTATCGCAAATAAGCAAACCTGCAAAATATTTATAAGAAGACACAATTTAAAGCAACTAACTGATCCCATAGGAAGCATTGTTCCCGAATAGGCCAAAAGGTTAGTCAAAAGGTGCATCAAAAATTTTTAACTGGCCACCGCAGGTCGGTGTAAGTCGCCTCAGGAACCGCAGCCCCCTCCCCGGCCCAAGGAAGTGTCTCCCGCCGCTGCTTCGCCTTCCCATTCCCCCTTCCACCGCGCCAGGCCGGGGCTCCCGTTCTACCCCCCCTTCCCGGGGAGAGGCGGCGCATCCCGCATCCTGCTGAGAAGAGCGGGCGCGCGGGGCCGCGGCGAGGCCGGGAGGAGGAAGCGGCGCTCTCCCATCCTCTCGTCTCCTCACCCAGCCCGTCCCTCCTCCCTCCCTCCCTGCCTCCCGGTGCTGGCGGCGGCTCCTCCTCCCGCGTGTGACCCGCTGCCGCCTGTGAGCAGGGCGGGGGGACGGCGCCGCGCGGGCCCCACTGTGGCGGCGGCGGCTGCAGGAGGCGGAGGAGCGGGATCCGGGGCGCGCTGTCCCCCCGCAGCCTCATCGCTGGGCCCCGCCGGCGCTCCCCATGCCCGTGTGGTGCTGCCGCTGCTCCCTGGCCAGTCACTTCAGGTGAGGCGGCGGCACGGAGCGGGCGGTGGGTCGGGGCGGTCGCAGGGGAGCGGAACGGGCACAGGGGCGGGCGGGGAGCGATGCCGCGGCCTCCGCGGGGCTGCTGCGCTGCCCGGCCCCGCACGGCCCCTCGGCCGCGGGAGGGGATGGCGGCGGCGGGGCCCGGGCGGGCGCGCCGTGACCTTGGGCAGCGCCGGGCGCAGCCGGGCCGGGGGCTGCCCGCGCCTCCCGCCGGGATCGCAGCGCGGCACCGCCGGGGATGCCGGCCCTGATGGCAGCGCGCCGCCCGGGCACCTGGAAAAAACCCTGCCGTCTGACGGCGTGAAATTCGCTTCCCGAAGTGTCAGCTCGAGACCAAAATCAAATTCCGTTTATATAACGAGTTTTTCTGTTAACCGCCCATCACAGTCCGCTTCTTTTTTTTTTTTTTTTTTTTTTTTTTTTTTTTTTTCTTAAAAGTACGTAGGGAATTCTAGGATCCTTCAAAACTGCTACCTGAAAATGACACCACTTATTTCAATAACCTGCAGCTAATTAGTAGGTATTAGTAAATAATTATTATTACCTTTTTCAGATGGGAGAAAAACTGTTATATATATGCTGTGATTTTCCTCTTAAAGGTTTTTTCACATTAAAAAAAAAAAGGATTCACGTTTGCACATGTTTAGAATCTAGGCAGTTGACAGAATGTAATTCTCGAGGTTATTTGGTGTGACCAGCATAAGATAAACTGAGCATTAGCGTTGGAAGTGACTCATCTTGTGCCCAATTGCATCTCTGCAGGACTAGAGCTATAGATAATTGTACCCAATCCCCACCACTGCAAAGCTGTCTACCATGAGTTTATCAAGATTAAAATTTCTGGTACTTGGTGGCTTTCGGTGTTGTTCAGAGGTTAGGAAGATAGTGGCCCCTAACTTAAGATCTTGCTGGGTTCTGATATCATGCTCTTGCAAAGGAGAAACATGCTCTTGACAACAGTCCTTTGTATGCACCATAACCGAGAAACTGCTCGTTGTATGAGGATGTTTCTGTGCAAAATTACCAGTTTGGTAGTTTGTGATGCACTGAGCTACACAGAAGCAACATTTTTATTGTTAAAAGATTCTTTTGTGGCCTACAGCATTGTGCATATAACCATAAAAGAGGTTTTGACATGTTTCTTTTGGTTTTATATTCCATCTGGCACAGCAAGTATGATAAAACCACACTAAAACGTGCATGCTTCCTTTAAGCCCATCCTTCAGGTATGCTTGCCTGAGTTAACTCTAAACAAAGGGTGGAAAGTAAAATATTCTACCTATGCCTATCTAAAAGTGGAAGTGAAAAAATCAGTATGATAATTAGATATCCTCTCTCTGCCATCTTCTCATCCTCATCTAACTCATGCTGTTTGTGTGTTAGGAGTCTTCAAGAGCTAATGTGCAGCTGTACTCAAACAGTAAGCACGTACTTTGCAAACTTTTTTTGTTGTACTGCAGGGAATACAGATACCAAGTACTTTCCAAAATAAATGCAACCTTAGAATAGCTCCCCGCTCTTTTTAACAAAGACATGGCCATCAGAGAGATGTATTGGGGAGTGTACTAGCGCTGTTGTTACTGTCCAGCTCTGTCTCTAGTTTACTTCAGACTTCCCCGTTGAGGAAACAGAACCTTCAGTGCCGTGGGAGTTGAGGCAGTATAGAGTCTATGTGGCTTCTTGAAGGCCATGGGAATTAGATAATTGTCTTATGATTTTGGTCCTGTGTAGAAAATAATTCCTGAAACACTAAAATAGCTTTAAGATATGCAAATTCTTAGGAAATAGATGAGTACTTTTATTTATTGTTAATAATTGCAACTGTTTGTAAAGAAAAAAGTGTTTAGAACTGTTGATTTGGATATTTTTAATTAAAAATTTGTTGCCTTTATTTGGAAGACTTAACTGTTTTTGGTTTGCCTCTGCCTTTCAACCTAAACTACTAGTGTGTTCTGTTTCAATGTCCTGGAAAGGATTCAGAAAGGACTCCTAAATAATTAAACAGAAAACAGTATAAAACGAGTCTTCGAAGTCTAGAAGCACATTTAGATGGTGAAGAGTTATGAGGGAAACCCAAGTAGATGTTGCTCAGAGAAAGAACTGAGAAATCTAGGAAAACGGCTAGGGATGAAAGCCGTCTGCTGTGCAGGAGCTGACCTGGCTGCATGGCAATTCCTTTTGTAAAGGCTTTTCTTTTAACAGTGGTAGGATGGGTTGTGTCTAGGCCTTAAAGGGATCGCTTCACAAGGATCCATCTTCACACCACCGCCAGCTTTAACCAGCATTACTTCTCCCCGAATGGAAATTTGCTGAGGCGAAGTCCTGTGTGCTGCTCAGCCAGCGGGAAGAGACAGGAATACCTTAGCAGCTGCATCAGGCTTTGGCTGGCCTTAATGTTGTTAATTGGCTAGGCAGTGTGTATCTCCTCCTTTGATAAGGATAATGAGGAATGAGTTCTACTGTGTGCGGGATCAAAATAATGCTTGTGGTTATATTTTGGCTTTGTATAAACTGCAATTAGAAATATGCATTTCTGCAGAGCCATCTGTGCCTTTTTGTAGACTTGGTAGGAGAAAGTGGACTTTTAAAAAAATCTTCTGTTAGAAAAGCTGTGCTGCAGAGTAAAATTTTGTAGATTGGGTGAAACATATCTGTTTTGGTCTCGATTTTGCCAGTTTCATAGCTCTTAAAGTACAACATCAAAAGCAACTTTATTTTTGAAACGACTGTTCTGACAACAATTCACTGTTTCATTTTAGTTTTCTCCCATCTGTTCTTCTTAATTAGAACGTACAGCAGCACTGAAACCGAGGGACAGCTTTTGAATTCCTTTGTCCAGTATTTTGGTGACAGCCTTGGGAGGAAGATTAAAAGAATGCCTTTAATTGAAGAAACTGTTCTGCCTGGAGACTCCCTCCTTACTCTGCCTGTAGTAATAATAGGTGAGTTTTTTTCACTTTTTTAAAGATTCTCTGTCACTGCCATTGGCTTTAGACCTGCTGCATGCAATAATTTATCATTAAATAAGTAATGCTGCGCATCCTTACAGTGAAGATGTTTGTTAGAGTAATACAGTTGTGATTAACAACAATAGCATAAAATTATATTAAGGGACTTGTGGGAGTATATTTGAATTCAAATTGTGCTTTGACAAGATGAACTGTGTTATTTGGCAGCACATATGGGAGTCTTAATGGAAGAACTGTACTGATTCTAGGGTTTGATTAATGTGATATATCTACTTCAGGATGTCTGGAGGTTGTTGATGGTACACTGCTGGAAATTTTTGGGGTCATGGGACAGTGAAAAGCATAATGTGAAGTGTGTGCTGTGTGTTGGTCAGGTGCTACCTTCTCATTAATTGTCTTTTTCTCTGTTTTATCAATCACTAATGTCTGAGTATTTCCCCATCTTTTCCAAAATGAATCCGAGTCAACTCAGCCAGTTTAAAACAATAAATTGTAGTCTTGATTAAACACTTAAAGGCTAGTACTTGTAAAATGTTGCTGAATGACAGGATAGCAGAGGGAGCAGACTCCATAGGTACATAGCTTAATTCAGGGTGCCAGGGTGATGTATATTGGACCAAGGTTTTTCAGCAACAGCTGGTCACTAGCTCCTTATCACCGTGACTTCATGAGGGGATAAAGAAAAGATCTGGAGTAAAGAAGGTTTTCAGTAATCTAGTCCAAAGCTGTTGGGACTAGAGCAAGGACCGGACCTGCAAACAAGCAGAGATTGTGGAGGTTGATATTTCAGCATAATCGTGTTCACAGTAAGTTTCCACAACTTTGAAAGACTGATGTTTGTACAATGCCTGTTCTCAAAGCTCTCTTCATGATAGTTTAAAATAGACTTAAGTGGATGTGACAGACGTGAATCACTTGATAAGTTCTGCATCATAGTTGAAGAGCAGCGGTTTCCTGGCATTTTGTCAGCCTTAGTATAGGTTTGCCATATGGTTAATGACTCAGTTTTCACTGTTTAGGTTTGCAAATCTGCTTTATGCAAATACCTGTGCTTAACATTTGTTTTGTCTAGAGTGCCTTGCAAGGTGCTGACACCAAACACAGTTGCCTTGACTATTTCTTCTTGAAAAACAAGTACATTGCCCCAGTGCTTTTTCACAGATATATTTGAACCACTTTGCGAGCTGATCTTCTCCATTGGCAGCCTGCTATCACTAATTCATTGTCTCACCAAAGAGCTTTCACAGGGATATAAAAATAATGTAGTAGAAGAGAATGAAAATAGAGTTGTCATGCCCCCCATATACAAACACACTGTGTAGTAGTTTAATAACTTCTGTGCAGTACCTGTCTCTTGGGAAGAAATGGTCCATTCCTTTTGAATGAGTTGGGATTGAAGAATTTCATGCTGGAGCTGTAAGTTTGGAGCATGTTCTGCAGCTGAACCTTTATTTTTTGTGTTCTTGACAGCGTATCCTCCAGGAAATTTCTTTACCTTGGACACAGTCTGCTCAAAGAATAGGAACTGGGTTTGGATCAGCTCTCTGGATGGTCCCACGGAAGTTGCTAGGGAGCTCAGTGACAGTAATTCACCTTAACATAATCCCAGCCTCAATAATTTCCTTGTCTTTTGCTAGCCTTTGTTTTTGCAACCTTTGTTGTCTGTTTGGTTCTTTTTAGTCTTCTCCAGTAGAAATAATCTTTAGCATGACATGCTTGGATATGGAACACATTTTTCCATTGTGGACTAGCTTTGTTTATGCCCCAGTAGGAAAAAAAAAGCTAGCTATGCACTTGTAAAAAGATAGAAAATTCTTTACTGTGCACAAGTTTATAATTCTAAAAACAGTTAAGAATTTACTCAGTCGTGGGAATGCTTCTGGACTATTTGTGTGATTACAGTGTGCTCATAATTTCATATGATTTTGTTATGGATGGTTTCACTGTATTGCTAAGGTTCTCTCACTTCCATCTCATGTGGCAAGTGAGTGACAGGAGGGGCTTGTATCAGCTGTAAGCTTTAAATTCCTGAACTAAAGCATATCCAGCAGACCTTTTTGTGGGAGGGCAGAAGAGTGTGAGAGTAAGCAAGACCTTTTTCACTGTCTTTAGATTCTTTATTGGCTTTTTTGTAAATAGCAAAATAGAAATTGAAGTGGTTTGGGAAATAATATAGGCAGGATCACCAATATTTAAACCTTCTATTACAGACTTTTGATTTAATTATCTTACAGTATCCAATGATGGAAATCGACAGCTTTCCTAAACAGTCGTTTTCCAGTGCTTTATGGCCTTTGTAGTAAACAGGCACTCTAATGCTTTTATTTTTGGCTCCATGTTTGGATACAAAAACTAAATTGTTTGATAGGAGCCACTGTGCACTCTCACATGCTCACTTGGATTCTAGGCCTTTGCAGAAAACGTGCTTATGGAAGATTTCTTGTAACTTAACAGCCTTAGCCTTTGAAGAACTCATCAGTAGTGAGCCTGCTTGATTTTCCTGTAGGCCATGGCTGTGACCAATCTGTGTGCACTGCACTGTAATAAACTGTGGGATATTCTGCCACTGAGACCAGATGAGTGTAGGCTGGTGGAGGAGGAAAAAGAGATCCAAGGTATGAAGAGAATGAACAGGGTCTCAGCAAACTCATGGGGGATTTAGGAACTGAGAATAGTGTGTGCAAAGGTGCTGGGGAACAGGAAATGACATGTGAACTCTTGACATCAAGAGCTGAAATGGTTAGAAGTAAGAGCTAATGTCAGACAATGAGTACAAAAAGCATGAATAAATTAGTAACTTAAGCCCAGAATTTGCATAGTGTGTGCTAAATACCATGAGTGCCACTCTAGAAGGCAAACAAAGACAAAATACTGATGAGTGCCTCATTAGGAGAACACTGTGCTTTTCATTCAGTTAATGAGGAAGAGGAGCTATGGAATTAATAATACATAGTCAAATATTTAAATTCTCTATCATAGCACGTACTTTCCTGATTTTTGTTTTGCATAGCTTTCTATATCTGACTTTGCAACAGGAGTGTTCCTTCTGTATTTGCATGTGATAAATATGGTCTCCTACTTTGTTTAATGCTAGACAAATAAATAGAGATGTTTACTTTATGGTAATGTTTTGGTCCTATCTGTTTTATACCTTAGCAACATTTTAAAAATAAGTGTCTATTAAAATTGCAGCAATGCACATGTACAGATTATAAAATGCTACAAAAAGGATAAACATGTTTGACTTGATATTATTGCTGAATGATGAATGTGGTCTTACATGAGTTTCTTGTACTTTACCACTTAGTGACTGTATCTGTCTTCATTTAGCATTTATGTTACTGTTTTGCCATGTCTGTAACTTCTCATCTGACTTCCAGTCTTCAGCTTTCTGCTTATCTCTTTCTTCCTTTCATTTAATGGGCAGACCTGAAGAGCATATGCTCTGAATTGTCTTTCTGCTCTGTATTGCACAGTGCCTGTGGGAATACAGAATTGTAAGATGGTAGTAATATTCAGGTATCACTGTGATTGACAGGCAGACCGTTATCCATTGGGCCACTTTAACACAAGAATAATGCATTTGATGTACTAAATTATGGAACTCCTTTATATGCATTTTGTTTTGTGATGTAAACAGTCATACAAAGGTTCTTTGTTAAAGATTTTGCTCTCTTTACTTGGAGGACAGTCCTATGTAAGGCTTTATTTTACTGCAGGGTTTATAAGATGCTTTGGCTCAGGACGGTATGGCTTTATACTACTTCAGTGTTACTTTGTTGCTGTATATTTTGTGACTTACAAACTATATATTATTGAAATTTTTACTAAAGCAGTAACTTCTTTCTTTAATAGGAAATGGACCTTCAGGAATTTGTCTTTCTTACCTGCTCTCTGGATACAGGCCATATTTGTCTCCTGAAGCTATACACCCAAACCCCATTCTACATACGAAATTAGAAGAAGCTCGACATCTTTCCATTGTTGATCAAGTAAGCCTTGGTTGCCATCTTATCTGGTTCTTTTCCTACTGCAAGCAGGGTTATGAAACAGTGGACTTTCTTTAATGACCCTGTTTAAAATGCTTTTGCAGCTTTATTAAGTAGTGCCATAGACAAGAAAAGGCTTAATATTCTCACTCCACAAAGAATTAGACCACAGTAAAGCTCAGTAACTGTGTGGCCTCAAAAAACTTTTATCTCTTGGCCTCTTTTTTTCCTACTTGTAAAATAACGAGCAGTATATACCTTCCTCAGTGGCTTGTAACAAATTACATGTAGAGAACTGCAGATGAAAAGAATGGATTATCCAAAAACATTCTGCAGATTGCATCTTGAAGAATCAGCCTATTTACCTAGTCACATTTGTAATGCATTAGTAAGGTATTTTGTTATTCTGCTAATTGAAATAGAATCAACTCATGACTATTAGATCCAAACCTGTGGCATGTGGGTGTTTTTGTGGTGTTTTTTGGTTTTACAGTCTGCCCTTTGTTGTGTTTGTACTGCTTGACAGGAGTGTCTAAAGTTACCACTTGGTCAGTGAGCGGCTCATGCAGGAATTCCACCTTTCATGTCCTAGGATGTTTGGGCACTGTCACCAAAGAACATGTGCTGCTAACACACTTCAAATATACATAGTTCAAATTAAAATCTTCCCAAATACTCCAATTCTCATTAAGATTTCAATTTTAGTAATATTAGAGACATATATCCTCTGTTAATACAATGTATTTTTCCTTTAAGAACAGTATGCGTCCTTCAGTGTTTGTGTTGTACTAATAGTTGCTCTTGTTCTGTATTTGTTACCCTTGTATACATCCAGTTTTTCTGCCTGATTTGATAATAGTTAAATCTTCTCCAATGTTTTTCACTCCACTTGTCATGTTATCATTGTTTTCTACTGGTTTCACTCTACTCCTGATGGATACTGACAATGCTGTCACTAACTGTATTGACTCCTTTGTGACTAATTTATTTGAAATACAAACATGGATTTGTGTTTGTAGGGGGTAAGTAGGGATTTGTTTGGCTTTGGATTTTGGAGGGTGTTTTTGTTTCAGTGCTGTGCTGTTTGCATGTAATGTTTACATTAAGTCTCAAGGTCTTTTTTTTGGCAGGAGAGTCAGTTGCCTAAGCTTTTGGCTACAGATGTTTCATGTACTTCATCCTCCCCTGACCCCCTGATATTTTGCCTAATTAGGAAGCTAAACTGTCCCATCTTTGTCAGCAAAAATTGGCCTTATGGCCAATTCTTCCTTCAAATCTCTATTATCTCTCCAAATATTTGCTATTGCATCATTAATTTTTTAGAACATGGATTGTTAATAGATACTGAAATGTGAACATTTTATAAAGTTCTAGAAATTTTTCTCAACATTGCCTGCTTCGTAAAATAATCCTAATTTTAATGTTTAAAAATAATATTATAATACCTCGATTATTTTAAGATATAGTAAAGTTAGTGTTGGAACTAGCTAAGAGCTGTCAAAGGAGCTTTTCTACTTGATGTTTAAAACTTAATGGTTTTAGATTCCAATTTTGCTTGATCAGAATGGGGCTCCTAAAAATATTAGCAATTCTTTGTTAAAAGTAGTCTGGTATATACATACATACATACATACATACATACATACATACATACATACATATATATATATATATATATAACTAAGTTGCTCTGATCTCTTAATGTTTGTCCATTGCTTCTTGTTCTGCAAAGAATTTCAAACTCTGACTTGCCCAAGTATTACTGGTTTATTAATATGTAATTTTTAAATGAGTGAAATGTATTATTCAGAGTTACAGAAGAACTGAATAATAGCAGTTATTCCTGAAAAGTGTTTTGACTGAATCTCTACATTAAATACTTATCTCTCCTTAAAATGCAACTTGGATTAATTGTGCTTTCTGTTTCAATTCAACTTCTGTATGCCAGAACAGCATGATGAAGAGCAGAAGTTGCATGAACATGTCACATTTTTTTCATACTTCAGGATCTGGAGTACCTGTCAGAAGGCCTCGAAGGACGCTCCTCAAACCCGGTTGCAGTACTTTTTGATACGTTGCTTCACCCCGATGCTGACTTTGGGTATGACTACCCGCCTGTTCTGCACTGGAAGCTGGAACAACATAATTATATTCCCCATATAGTGCTTGGTAAAGGACCACCTGGTGGGGCTTGGCATGTGAGTAAAAATTTCATATCACTTCTGGGGTAACTTGATAACTTTGTGGTTTGGGATTTTTTTTACTGTTGAATTTTTTTTTACTTTCTGTTTTTTTACTATCTTTTACTCTCTGCTTTAGATGGTAATGCCAGTTGTAGTTTCAACTGCTTGTTTACCCAAGCCCAAATATGTTGCAGAAATAAGAAAGGAAGGAAAAAATTGTCCTTTATTTGGGCATATGACTGCTGTCTTATATTATTATGTTTTTTTACTAGTTTAAATTTATTGAATTATAAAATTATAATAAAGAATATTTTCTCTAACCTTTATTCTCTTGTCTGCATTGTTCCCAGATGATTTTATATAAAATCTTGATGTCTTTATATGCTTCTGGTTTCATGTTTTTCTTCCTCTTTTGTATTTTAAATAACTTGCTTTTAGTTTCCCTTTCACATGCTGTCTTTTTCCTTTCTTCTCTATTAGCTCATGTAGTTGCTCATTCAAACAGTACGTAACTGTAACACAGAAGTAGTTCATCAATGCTTCCTGTAATGTCCTGGTCTTCTGTTGTGTTCTAGTATTTTATTGCTCTAAATGAGTGTACAGTGAGAAGAACTTTTTTGTTTTTTACATAAATGTACGCATCTGAAATGTGTCTGGTCATGCATCTTCATTTTTTCACTACAGTCCATGGAGGGCTCTATGCTAACCATCAGTTTTGGAGACTGGATGGAATTGCCTGGCCTCAGCTTTAAGGAGTGGGCAGCTAGCAAACGCAGGTAGGGATATTGCTTAATCTGTTTGGGAATCCTAGTTGCTGTAAAAATCCAGATAACATTATTTGAAGAACTGGAAAACATTCAAACTTCACTGTTCACAGGAGGGCTTCTTGTTTTGTTTGTTAAATTGCCTGATGGCACTGGAAATTCTTTTGGTGGTGTGTACTCTGATGGAAAAAAAATGGACAATGGTCAGGCAGAGTAATTGCTTGTGAGTGCACCGAAAGCATACATACTAGCAGCATTTCACAAAGAGGCACTGTTACTGAAAGCAGTTCTGATCAGAGTTGAGGGAAGATGGAGGAAGGAATTTCAAATCTACAGAAGTATTGCAAGTTCCTCTTTCAACACAGATGCAACAAGTTGCTATGGACACTGGCTTTCTTGTAATTCAGGAAGTTGTACATTTCAGTATTTGCTTTTACAGACAAAGCTGAACAACATCTGAAAAGTTGTTATGTATGAATTTTAATTTTAAGAGCATAATTCAGTATTTCACAATGTTATTTTCTGGTAGTAAGTTTCTTGAAAAAAATGAGAAGAAAATTTACTTCAGTTATACAATTAGTTCATAAAGGTCTGTGTCAGCAAATGAACCTAGGAACACTCTATGTAAGCTTTTTCTAAAATTTTAATTTTTCTGACTTTGTTCTATCAAAATAAAAGAAATTTTTCTAGTACTGTGTATGGGAAAAGAAGTAGAATTACTTAGGCATATGTCTTTAAGGGCAGACTGTTACTCATTTCAGGACACCACTTACAGTGAAGAAACTGTACCTTTGTTCTTTAATTGTTTTCTTAGATAACCAAGTAATCTTGCTTCCTTATTAACTGAAATCCCATAAGCTGCTTATTATCAGAAGCTAATTTGTTTATTTTATAGTTTTTGACAGTGCTAAAACCAGAAATGCTGACCTGTTATACTACAATTAAACAAACATATTTAAAAGAATTGATGCTAGTGAAAATTTCTAGTCATGTAGTTTCCTAAGTTTCTTTGTAGGAGGTGTCACACTGTCATGCTCTCCTCTTCAATAAATACCTCATGAGGATTTTCACAGTAGTAAACCTGAGCATTTAAAAGTACATATGCTATTATCCTGTTAGACTATGAGAATGAGTACTTATTTATAAGATTTTAAGTGTAATTCAGTGTCAATCCTGATGTTCACTCTTGTTTATTTTGCCTTCTTCCTAGAGCTTACTTCTAAAGAAGCATCAAAATTCATGCACTTGTTCCAAATAATTATACTGTCAGCTTATTTTTTTATAAATGAGAATGCAATAAACATGAAAAAAGCATAGATGTAATACCGAGGTTACAGTGCAAAAATGTTTTTTATTGGACACTTCAACATCACAATCCTGTTTGTATTGTTGCAGTAACACTCTGAGCCATACTTGCTTTATGCATTCATGTGATATGGAACTACTTCATTTGATACTTAGTGAACTTAGCAAAGGAGAGGTTTTTTGCAAACTATAATGAAAAATACCTGGCTCCAGTAAGGTATTGAACGTAGAGTTTCAAAATTAGCACTTAACTATGATATTTTACTAATTACATCCTAAGCAAGTGTATTCTCACTGAGCACAGGTTTAGCCGGTATTGTATTGTTGATAGTTGTGATGTTAAACTGTCTTTATAAAACATTTCCATATGGAGCTACCATGATGCTGCAGAGCTTTGTTATACCTGATTTGTTAATCACCATAGCACTTTACATTGTATAAAGACTTTTAACTATATAAAAACCCACTACCTTATATTGTGTAACAGGAATCAAGAGAACAAATAAATCAAATGCATTTAAAGATATTGAACTCAGTGTCAGTTACACTGACAGATTTAATCCTTGTAAATTTGACTTGTCTTGTGGCATGTCATATATGATATTCAGATTACCAATAAGGTCTGTATATTAACTGGAACGATTCAATTTTGTTTCAGAAATATAAAGAGTGATCGAGTAATGCCAGAGGAAATAGCTTGTTATTATAAACACTATGTTAAAGTCATGGGCCTCCAAAAGAATTTCAGAGACAACGTTTACATAACATCAGTGTCCAGACTTTACCGAGGAAAGGAGGATGAAGATAGAAGTCAGCGAAATGAAGATATTTCAACACAGCATTTGGAAATGGAAGACGGACAGAAATCACTTATTAAGAGAAACTGGGAAGTCAGAGGTTATCAGCGAGCAACAGATGGTTCTCATGTGCCCTTCTGCCTCTTTGCTGAGAATGTGGCTCTTGCCACAGGAACCTTTGATTCTCCTGGCCGATTACAAGTTGAAGGAGAAGACTTTCCTTTTGTCCTCCATTCCATGTCTGACTTCGGAGCTGCAATCAGCAAAGGAAAGTTACGTGGGAAGGCAGACCCTGTGTTAATTGTGGGTGCTGGACTTACAGCAGCTGATGCAGTACTCTGTGCCTGTAACAACAACATCCCAGTAATCCACGTGTTTCGTAGAAGAGTTACTGATACAAGCCTAATTTTCAAACAGTTACCTAAAAAGCTTTACCCTGAATACCATAAGGTGTATCATATGATGTGTACTCAGTCCCATACTGTGGACTCTAATCAACATTCTGCTTACACTAGTTTCCCTGAACACAACGTACTTTCCTTCAAGCCTGAAATGAAATGTGTTCTTCAGAGTGCCTCTGGACTGAAGAAAATTTTGAAGTTTTCTGTAGCCTTAGTTCTGATAGGTTCTCACCCAAATCTTTTCTTTCTAAAGGACCAAGGACATAGCATAGGTCGTCACTCTAATCAGCCCATCACATGCAAGGGGAATCCTATAGAGATTGATCCATACACTTATGAATGCACTAAAGAAGCCAACCTCTTTGCTCTAGGTCCTCTGGTGGGAGACAACTTTGTACGGTTTTTAAAAGGAGGTGCGCTGGGCATTGCACGATGCCTGGCAATAAGACAAAAGAAGAAACATGAATTGATTGAAAGTGGGGATGGAGGAGGTGATGGGGTACCATAAATGAGACATTAGAAATTTTCACATCCAGGATTACAGGTGTAGTCTAACAGAACAGTCACTGGCAGCGAAAGTTGATAGCAGTCACATTTCTGTCGTGTACAAGTAACCTGCGCTTGTATTGCTTGGTAAAAGGATGCTGATACTACAATACTTCACCCTTTCAAAATAGAAAAACTTGATCTGCTATTTCAACTTATTTCAACTGGAATTACTTCCAGATAAACAGAAAATGAGACTAGACTAACTTATATTGACCTGCCTGTCATCTCCTGCTCAGCTACAAGAGCAGATTTCCTTGGGAAAAGCAATGCCTACCAGAGTGGCTTTATATTTTAGTGTCCAATGTGACAAAAGCACTCTTACCATGAAATTAAAGTAACTTCTAAAAGCAGAAAGCTTGCTTAGTACAAGGTGATTCGTGGTCCCAAAGCAAATTTGGAGCCTTCTGCTCGAAACAAGGATTCTATTTATTTGCTACAGTAATACTTGGAATGAGCACTTAGTAAAATGGTTTCTATTGTAAGAACGCTTTCTGTAAGCAAGTATTCCTCAATAGTTTTAAGTTATCCTGATAATTGGAAAAAAAGAATAAGCATTCCCATTTAATCTTTAACAATGATTTGACACAATCCATTAATGTTTCTTCACACTATGCCTAGAGTTGGTGAGTGCACAAAGACTACCATGACATGTTCCCCTACAGTGATATGTACATTTCTGAGAATACGCATTAACATAAACAGTAATAAAGTACTGATGTAAGTGCTCTTATTACAGTGTCAATATAGTGAATATCTAGTGTACTATCAAGAGTTAAGTACATGAGAAAACTAAAGATTTTTTTGCTTCCTAGCTCAGGAAGACTGAAGGGGATCACTTGGCTGATGAAGGTGGGCTGGGTGATAGATATTCTCATCTCCTGTTTGACCAAGGATTGTTTTTTTCTCTTTCTTTTTTTATAAAGCAGCACATAATTGTAACATATTTTATCCTGCAGTTTTTGAAACTTAAAAAAGGGTCATTATCTCACAGCCAGCGAAAAAATAAACCAAACTCAAAACAAACGTGCCATAGTTTCTTTAAATCTTAGAGCTTGTCATGAAAGACAAAGGCAACTTGCACCTACCTCTGAATCCAAGTTTCACCCTTCTGCTCCATTACGTAAGACCTAGATTTCATTTACTGGGTTTTAGAGTATTTAGTTTATCTAAACACACTCAACCATAGTGAGGTTAATCAACAGCTAGTTAGAAAAGTGAACTTCCAGAACTCTCAATAGACAAAAGTGCTTGGGTTCAACTGATTTATTACTAAACCTTTTAATTCGGGTCCAATGTGATGGAATAGATGTTTTTTTGTTTGGAGCTTTTTTTGTGTTAAAGAATGTCATGTTAGTTTAAGGTATTGTGTTTGCATGATTAAAAATCTTCATATTAGAGCCTAGACAGATTTAAGAAAGGAAATAAGGCTTAGGCTTTGTGAAACTGCTAGTGCTTGCTGGTTTCCCAGCTGTCTTAATTTTCATAAGTTATATATACCTGTATTCAATTCATGCCTGCTTTCTGTGCCTGCTGAATTAGAGTTCTGTGGCTACTGCAGGCCCTTACACATTTGAGTAAGTTGCTCAGACTTTGGACATAGAAATTGAAGGTACAGTATGTAAGGATTAAAATTACTTATTTTCAGTGAAGTCCAAAGCAATTTATGACATGATACTACTACTAATAATTTAAGAGCCACTTAATAGCATTAAAATAAACACAAACAAAGGAACATTTCCATCAATTTCTGCATTGCCCACATGGTTGACTTTAATCATACGTTGTTGATACTAGTTATGAAAATTTTTTTTACTGATATTTGAGCTGGTTTTAATTATGCTAAATTCTAGGCTTAATCAATTACTCAATTCTAGGCTTATCTCAAGTCAATTGAGATTCTATAATTTGCCTTCTTTGGCAGAAACTGTATATATAGAAACCTATTCTAAACCTGTGATATCTAATAATTTTAACTGAGAATTGGTTACAAGTGCAAAGTACTTGATTATAGAACTTATTGGGACTACACCTACACTGTGATTAAATTCCTTCAGTTTTGTGTCAATATAAATATCCAAATACAACATACTGTGACATTACTGCTTTTTCATTTGTCATGAGATGTGTAAAATGCCACCAAAACAAAGGAAGAATTTACTTAAAGAATTATTTTGCAAAAAGGGGAAGAAAGCTTCAAACAGCTGGATTTCTAGCTGCAGCTGCGAACAAGCTGTGTGTGTTGTAGTGGCAAATTTGTAGCAGAGATCTGTGACCTGTGACTTCTTATTACAGATTATTATCTTTCACTGCAGTCTTATGGCACCTTGAGGTTTAATTGCCTTTTTCTTTTTATCAATCTTAGTATTTTTGAGATAAAAAGTTGCATGTGAGACTGCTTAGGTGGACAGAGAAATTTTCTCAGTGTTAATGTTTATTAAGCCGTTATAAAGATACTTTTTTCAACCAAAGCTTTACCAAAAGATCATCCTCTTTCTTCTAGGAATTGCTAGATTTAAAATTGTAGCCAGACTTTCTCACTTTTGTATTTCTTATTTTGAGAAAAATTTGTGTCTCTCTCCTCTTTGGTATTTTGAGGGACTAAGAGATGCAAAAATTCAAGCTTTGCCTTAAGATAGTTTTACCTAAAGCGCTGCATTTATTGTGAATTAGATGTTGGCACTGAGTTGTTGTCTTTTGGGGAAACACCTTGTTTCTCCGATTTAAAAAAAACACCACAAACATTTGAACTTCTGTGTTTTAATAGTTCCCAGAAGGGAGATTGCTTCTTTCAGTTCTTCTTTCAGTGAGAAAGATAAGCTTTTAAACATCCTGGATTTTAAAAGGATGCTTCCTACTTAAGCTTTATTAATAAAATACAGACAGGAAGAATATAATTTAATTTGAATTTAGAGAATTTGTGAAGCTGTCTTAACCCATACTGTGTATTTGCTAGTAGGTTAGTGGAAAAACATCTCTTACATTTGGATTTGGTTCTTAATGCTATGACTGTGTTTGAGAGTTAAATTATTGCTAAGATTATTTTAAGTAGTATCCAGCTGTTGAACTGGGACTAAGATTTGTCATAGTAGATTTCCTTAACAGAGGAAAGCTAAGTTTAACTCGGATGAGTAAACGCAGAAATCCTTTTTGCAAGTAATCCAGAGAGTGGTGACAATAACACCAGAATTTTTCTCTCAGGAAAATGCATTGCTTTGGACTAGCAGCCTGGGCTTGCCAGTGAATGCATGGAATGTGTATGGCTGTACACCGAGTAAGGGACACCAAAGTGCATCCCACAGCTCTAGGTCCCTAGTCGGTCCCTAGTCCTCAGCACTTTTGTTGGAGGAGGTGGCTGTAACTTCTTTCTCTCGCAGCTCAAGAACTGTGAAAAGGTTAGAGCTAGAAATGCAGAGTACTTACTCAAAGCTGGAGGATTAAGACCCAAACTTAAGAGGTAAGCCCGAGCTGCATATCCAGTTGAAAGAAAAGGCCATTTTTAGGCCAGCTGCTCTTGGGAAAGAATGAAAGGGTGTAAAATTTGCAAACTGCTAGTGAGTATTCACTGATGACGAGAATGACGAGTGAGGAATGATGGGAGGAAAGCTGCAAAGAACCTGTGCAATCTGAACTGCAGACAGAGGGGTGCTGAAGTGTGTCCACACAGCTTTGACAGGCTGGTGGTGTCCCATCCATTTGGGTGAGGATCTGTGTACTGTGACTGCGGAGCTCTGCACCGCAGCTGGTCATCCTACATGTTGCCATATGTGTTTAACTGGCTATTAACTGAAGTGCACTGAAATGCAACATACAGACTGGAAGCAATTGTATTTGCTCACTGAGCTGTAGGACTGATCAGTAAGGTGGTGTGCCAAGAGATAAGGCTTTGTTGCTCTGCAACTGTATTTTCTACCCTCTGAGAAAGCAAGCAGGTATCTTCATGTAATAACAGGATCTGGGGCTGTACGGTGCTCCCAAACATTTCTAAGCAGCAAGAGGTAATACACATATGCCTTAAACTCGATTTCATTATTGTTTATGTAGTAATGATTAATTCTAAGTAAGTTATGGAACAAAAAAATGGAACAAAAAAATGGAACAAAAAAAGGTTTATACTGTTATATTTTAATTTAGAGTATATTTAGAGTCTTACAATAATAATGTTCTGTCATCATTTTCCATTCTTATTTTAAGGTGAGAGCAAGTTGGGAGCACTCAACTGATGTGAGAGCTTTTTGTACTTCCACCATTTCCCCTTGCCCAACCTGAAAAAAAAGTCATGCTTTGTTTGAAATAACCATAATAGTTGATTCTGTTTAGCAGAAACAATGGAAATTAAAACATCTTTGACAGAGAAAGGAAGGCTTTGGTGTCATTAGGGGTAAAATTTTGAAGTGAGAATGTTGAATTATAAACAGCTCTTTTTCTGCAAAAGTGTGTATTTTGGGGAATATGTTACACTTAGGTGTTTCACTTAATTTCTGAAGCCTGAATTACACAGGGAATTGTGCAGTCAAGGATGAATTTGGTGTAAGGAACAAGGATTATGGGGAGAAAATAATTTATAGTATAATTTAGTCACAGTGAAGCTAAGCACTGTTGTAGAGATAGCTTTGTCTTTGTAGACACTGGAACATTTAATCTCAAGCAAACCTTGAACTTGAGTTCACATTATACCTGTCTGCATATTAGCTCATTTTATAATGAATGATTTTGTATTTTCAGGGCATAATAAGCCAACTCCTAAAACTTAGTGGTCCTCAGTAGTCATCAAAACCAGGAAATTACTTGTTCTGGAGACTACATTATTCTAATTTGCACTTTCCTCTCCCATCTCTTTATTCTGAGATCACTGGCAATGTGTAAGTACCAGCCTATGCTGCCTACAGTGGATGCTTCAATGAACTAAAATTCAGCTTCATGTTTCTGGACACCCTCTCTAGACTTACATGCCAGCATAAAGAAAATTAAAAGCTAGGTTTGGTATATATTCACAGAATATTACAGCATCCTGGCATTTTTAGGTTCTTTTTTAACTAGGTACATAGAGAAAAAAAATAGTTGTCCACAAAGACTAAGCTAGAGACAAGATGAAAGAGGTTTGATACAGTTCCAAGGGATACTCTGAGGAGAGGGAAATGGTTCATTTTTCACCAGTTTGGATGCTAGACCAGCTTCTATGTGAACATCGGGTTATTGCTGTTCATGAACTGATCCTGCTACCTTACATCTCCCTGGCACAATTTACAAAGTTAATACCCTGATCTTGCCTGTTTCTCTGTTAATCCTGGTATGGTGGTTGTGGAATTCCAGTTCTAAATTAGATAAAGGCTTATATTCATTTACCTATATGCATGTTCACAGACAACACATCTGAGCTTGGAAATACTATGTAAAAGTCACTTCTGTGTGTGTCAGTGCTTCAGTTTTCTGCTTTTGCTGGAGTGTGCTTGGGTTATACTATTTTATTTTTTCTAAGATGAGCAATGTAAATGTGTACAGAACTTTTGCTGTCAGCAGCAAGCAACTTGTGAGCAAAATCTCAGCTTTGATTAGACAACAAACATTCCTGAGGTTTGCATGCCAAGCTTGTTTTATCTTCATGTGTGAAAACTGATGGTGGACTGAACGTGCGAAATATTAAAACAGTTTCACCTAGAAGTCAATTATTTTGGTTTTGAGAAGTGGGGAACTAGTAAGTCAAAGGAAAGAACAAACTGGGGAGGAAGAGATTCATAAAGCTGCAATGTTCAGGAAGAGGGAGAAGGCATTGGTTTGCATGGACCTGCTGCTGTAGCCAATGACAGAGATTCCAGCAGTCAAGGTTGTGGCAGAGTGGTATGGGCAGAGCGCTAAAGTGGCAGGGAAAGTTGCTAGTTAGGGAGATCTGATATTGTGTAGCATTTTTTGTAACTATCTCACTGGAATGTGGTGATGGCTGTCAAAGATTTTAAGAGGAAGAGGAGGAATAATAGTAAGGAATATGGTTCATGTTTTACCACACTTGGCTTGAGTTCTAAGGAGATACCAGAACAACCAGAACACAATCGGAATTTGTGAATGAAAAACCAGGTGGGGCCAAATGTGACTAAGGATCAATACAAGAAATGGAACAGAGCAGGTGAAGAAGGTGAAAAACTCCCTCCAGTTTTATGAGAGAGGGAGAAAAACAGGAAAAATAAGGACTGAGAAATCACTTGTATAATATGGACTGGAGAGAGGTGGGAGAGGGTTGGAGGTAGGTCTATAGCAGAACCTTCAGCTACTGTCTCAGGAATTAACGGGGGGCCTAGCACTTTAGAGGAAGTTGATGGGGTGGTCAGTGGATGGAAGAAACTGAAGCAAACACATTCCACATATGGGAACTGGTGCAATGATCCACAAGAGGCCAGCCCTGCTGCACCAGCCCCGCTGTGGGGACTACAGGTAGGAGAAAAAAGGGCAGACACAGATATGAATGGACAGAAATAGAAATCAAACTTCAACAGTGAGAATAATACTGTGGTAGTCTTGCCATAAAAAGGCAGTGGCTTCCCCAGCTGATGTGGGAAAGACGGGAAGTCAGCTGAAACTACTATGAATAAGCTGAAAATTAAGCATGTTATTCCTGCAGGGATACAGCACCTATGCTTGGTTTTAGTGGTAAATGGAGTAATTCAATCTGCTTTAAACTGTTTTCATCAGCTAAGCTGCTGAATGCAAGACTGTATTTTAAGAGCCTTGCTAATAAAAAGTACATTTAGTTTATGTATTGTGTGCATCTCCTTCCTGTGAGCAGTGGCAACAAAGATAATAAATGTTACAAAAAACCCCAAACCAAACAAACCCTCAAACGGCATTACACACAAAAATGCAAGAAACTGAAGTTTCTGCTCAGATGTATGTTTAGGTGAAGAACATAATTTTGGCAAAATGGTGAGTATGCTTGCAGACTGTGGTTTGTGGCAGATGAGAGAAACCTTAGATACCATCTCTGAGTTACTGAACTTTTTTTAACCTAAAGAAAATAAACACCACACAAGTTCTCTCTGAAAACTGAACTGACTGTTGAAACCACAGGGTACAAGCTCCAGAGTGAAAACAGAGCATACAGCAAAACTTTCGAATTGCAGAATACAAAGCTGAATGCCCTTGCTTGTGCTCACAGCTTTTGCTTTACCTATAAAACTGTATCTCAGTGCATGAGTTTTCCCACTTTCCCTTTTCTACTTCTATGATTCTCCCATCCTGCTGTGAGGGAGCATGTGAGTGGCTGCATGGAGCTTGGCTGCCTACTGGAGCTAGCCCACAACAGTATGTTTTATAAAATAAAGGGAACATTAGGTGATGTTAATGCAATATCTCCAGGGGTAAGGCAAATACTGATGTGATTTATTGGATGTTCAGGCTCCCAAGACTTGGATCATGTATTCATGTCCTTTATCATCTACCTGAGAAACTTCAGTAACAGAAGGCCCAAACCAGTAAGCCAAGAAGCATGTTTCCTCTAATGTTTTGACCTGAAAATTGTGACAAAAGTAATTTAAAATGGAAGAAAGACTTCAGAGTTATGAATAGGACTTGATTTTGGAATTACAATTCAAACCATGGCTAAGGGGTAGAGGTTTCCATGTCTAAGTTTTTTTGATGCAAGCATAACTTCATGTTGAAATAGCAGAAGGCTCAAGTGTACTATGTACAGGCTTCTCATCAACCAGACAGCAGCTGCAAGTGGATTACAAACCAAACCATCACCTACTAGGCACCCTCAAGTCTGACCCAAAACAGGAACATAAACTGGGTGTGCCTTTACCCAACTGCTGATCCTAGGCTCTTTTTTTTCCTCAGCACTACGGTGGAAATCCCCACAATTCTCTACTCTCTAGAGACCACAGAGCTGCCTGTGAAAGACTGCAAAGAAATCTGATGTTGGAAAAGTTGATACAGAGAAGACATCTCAAACTAGATCTATGAAGAAATCTACAACGGTTTGTGGATGCTCCCCATCACATCGTGGGATGAGTCCATCAGTCCTAGGACACAGAGTCACAGAATATTCTGAATTGGAGGGGCCCCATGAGGATCATCAATTCCAACTCTTAAATAACTAAAAAAACCAAAACACCTAAATTTAGCTGTCTGGGGATCTGGGTTTGAAGAGTCCTAACTCATAAAAAGTGAACAGAAGAGTGCTCTCAGCTATGCCATCAGGGTTGCTTGAACCCTAGCAGACTGCAGGTCTGAGGAGCAAAGGACTTGGCCTTTACTTTCTCATAGAAGGCCCCTGTAGATTGTATGTTTTGTCATTTCACCTTGGAAATTCTCAAGTTCTGTTTTTTGCAACTGTAAACACAACCTTTCTGAAGAATCTTGTCCATTGATATTTAATCACAATACTGAAAAACGTTAGCAGTCTACAAGAGCTGCTCTGTTGGACCAGTGGGTCTTCAACCAGAAAACCTGGAGATTCTCACTGTGACAATAGAAAAACTCAGGTACCTGAGGGTGCAACAAACTGCAGTCAGTCACCTCCTCCAGCAAGAATTTCAGCTGCTTAAGAACAGTCTTTTTAAAGATTTGGACAAGTCTTTTTAAAGATTTTATGTGCCCTGATGCAAGTTACAATACCAAAATAGTATTGTGGCTATTGCATAACTCAGCAGTGTTGGTGTGCTGTGTAACAGTCTGGACATCGCTGACCAGGTGATCAAAAAGATGCCAATTCAGACCTGAGGAAACACTGGCTCTTGAAGGCTAAATATTTTCTGCATGTTGCGACCATGTTGACTTCAGCATATCTGCTATCTTGATATACACAGATCTCACAGATTTTCAAATCTGATACACAACAGAGCACCTTCAAACAGCTCAGCTCATCTTGCTTGCACGCTCTGAGCTCTTGGCAGAGGAAGTAGTTTTGTTTCTGTGTACTTAAATTCAGTTACATCAACCAAATTACTTCCTCACATGAAGAAGGAGATCCTACCATCCTGCCTCTTGAAATGGATGCAGTGGAGCTACTGTTCATTTTTATCTGTTTGTGATCACTTCATACAGCTGAGTAGAAGTCTGGAAGGGTTTCCTCACTGTACTTCCAGGGGAATTTCTCAAATTGCAAACTCTCGGATCATTAAAATGAGGTCTCGTAACCCAAGAATGTGTAGATGTTTTGAAGGCCATATATTCACACAGTGATTGCAAAAAGTAAAGGCACAAGAGAAAGAAATGGGTCAAATAATTAAAATTCCAAACTGGAATGCAATAGCTCTTGAAGACATCCTCTGGCTTGCAAGTAGGTTTTAAGAACTGAACATTCACACGCACTGATTTAAAGTTGCAAATGAAAATATGTTTAAGCAAGAGGAAAAAACTGTTTTTTTCAGTTCCAAGATCTTCTGTAACAGTAACAGTGTTTGCTGTAAATCATGAACCACTGAGAAAGCTATCATGATCAAGTATTAGTTGCATTTCAGTCTTTCTCAACAGACTTCCAATTCTTAAGACAATACCCGTGAAAATACCTAATTAACAAAGCCTTTCTAAAAAAAAAACAAACCAACAAATAAAACACAGCCTGATGGTAACCCCCTTTTTTCCCCAAAACAGTACTGATTAGCAAACATTAGAAATAGCCTAAAATGAAATCCTAAGTATCTACAGTATTTTACTGAGCATTACTCTGAAGTAAGTAGTGTTAAAGTCTTGAAAATGTGCAATCCATAAGTATTAAGCAGTGAAAGAAATTTTTCTTTTTCTTTAATAAAAGCAAGACTTAAAAAACAAGTCTTACAATAATAGATAGTTCAAATGGTCATATGTAGGAACATCATACACACTGTAACACAAGAAACCTAAGGAACAGAAAAGCAGGTTTTGCTAGAGAAACACTGTAAATCCAGGTCACAATTTATCTTCTCCTTTTCACATTAGGATCATATCTGCAATTAAAAAAAAAAAGAAAATTTGTCCAAATAAGTTAATGATATTCAAAAAGTTAACAGCATGATGTAAATAGCTTTGTTACGTACTTACAACAAGGGAATGTCCAGTGTTCAATCCTTTCCCTGACTACACTCCTATAATTAGCTACAGTTGCTACTATTTGACTGAAGGATGTGTAAGGTAGAACCTGTGCATGAACTAGAGATAACCTTTAATAAAATTTTCACTGACTTCCCAGCTACCTATAATCTTTAAATCTGATGCACGAACAAGTTTCTCCAAGTTTTAATGACCCAACATTAAGTTCCTTACTAAAAAAACCTCACCAAAAACCAAAAGAGGAGGAGGGGAAAGCGCTACTGTATATTCACACCAATATACAGCATTTGGCCACAACTCATTCAGACAAAACTTTTCTGCTGCTTCCTACTCCTACATAAAACATTTCCTTGCCTTACCTTCCCCTTTATACAGCTTCGGATTGATTGTTAGAAATTTAGAGCTACTTTCTGGATATACTAAATAGTTACCTGATTTACTGTAATTTGCTTAGAGTTTGCCTCTGCTTGACACTGCTATCCCTTGGCCTTCCCTTTCTCTTCATTTGTGCTTCATCACTCAAAATCCTATGTCGCCTCTTTGAAATTCTGATGTGTTTGTACTCATGCATGAATAACTTATGGACACAACTGAATGATCAGGCAGTTTTACTTCCACTAGTTCTGCTCTCATTCATCAAGACTTTTTGCTTAGGCAGGAAAATGCGACAACTTGTGAGCCAAATTACATCACCACATAGCTGGAAGGTTATTAGAAGTCACTGTTGTTCCTATACAACTCAGACTTCTGACAAAAATAATATAGATACCCTTTGAAAGAAATGCTCTACATTAACTGTTAATTAACAGAGCAAATTGTTAATGTTAAGATTTTCTGAATGTGTTCATATGTAGTATCATGTTTCTTTGACAGTGATTTGGAAAAAACATCCTTCTTCTCCATATGCATTTTTTCTACCTAAATGCACTATTTTTTGTGTCAGTCAAATGCATGGCAGGTGAGAAGTCAAACAGTGGTCCCTTGTTTCTTCACATAAAAAACACAGAAAGTAACGAAATCTTTGCTAAACAAAATGAGATCCTTATATTAAATCTCAAACCATTTATTTGATTTTATTTCTATAGCACTGTAACATTAGTTCTAACTAAATGTGTCCTGGGCACCAAATTCTATGGAAGGGGAGAGGGGGGAGGGACAGGAAGATAAGCACATAGGAAAAGGGGATGATATATGACGGAAACCCCTCATCAGAATAACAGCAGCTTCAACCCTGTCTGTGACCGTCTAAAGAGATGCTGACACAGACAGTCATGAACAGTCTTTCCATGTTATATCCTCCACCTCACCTCCAGCCATTTTCCATGTTAAATGAAGCCTGGATGGTATTTGTTTTCCAGAGGGAAAGACATCAAACAACATTATCTGAAACTGTACAGTGCCTATGACCTGAAAAGGAAAAAGGACTACAGAGAATCCACTACTGAGAGTGAATGCACAAAGAAACATAAGACCTTGTTAGGAACAGGGAGTGGAGGACACAAAAGGCTGTTACTGAATATAATCCATTTAACTGTACTGTTAGTAGATAGTATAATATACTTTCCCTTCCTCCTCTGTCTCAGTATGTACCCAGCACAGCTTTTCTTTCTAGCTCATCTGCAGCTGTTAACATTATGCCAAGTAGTTTTATTCGAGATTAAGGTCAAAATTAGAAGGTTACAAACTGCTAAATGTTAAATTGTGTGTTTTAATATTTTTGACTGTAGAAACTTCATGCTTAGAATTAACTTTCATGCATGCAAATTATCTAAGTTTTCACTGCTGCGTTTCAAAAGGCAAAAATGAACCAAGATATTTTAAGCCAGTTAATATTCCAGCACAGCAATCTAGCTGCATCACGTTGTTATAAATGATAACTGACATATATATATATATATAAAGGCTGCATTGCAGATGTAAAAACTGGATAAAGTGGCAAACTTGGCTTACAACTTTTTCTAATTAGAAAGGGGTTAAAAATCATTAAATTAGGATTACAATTGAAAGTAAATTGGATAGGAAATTAACTGAGCAGGACGATTCTCTCCTTCAAAAGAGACATTAGGGAAAGTGGTAGACAACTGAAGTGAGGGTTATTGAAAGAAAACTGCTGAAACAGACTGAATTTTAGAGGCAAATGTAATGTGTAATGGCAAAAAGCAAGGGCAAACAGCCAAGGAGAACCTGGGCCTATCAAAGAAATCTCTAAACTCCTGTGACATAAGAACTGATTAAAGCAAAATCAATAACTCTTCTACACTGTCAAAAGCACAGCATGATCGGTTTCAAAATGCCACCTCTGTCTGTACACTGGAAAGATGGTAAAATGTTGAGGGAGTTTCTAACTGTTAAAAAAAGGTAAGAGCTCTTTCATTGTGAACGGGTTTGAAAGCAGCTTAAAGTCTCGAAGATAAGGGACACAGAGGGGGCACACTGAAGGATTTACTTAGCTTTTGGGGTTTTGTTTAGTTTTTACTTTAAATTCTGGGAGTCATTACTTCAAAGACCCAAAAAGGAAAAAGCAGTTGCTTTTCACAGAACTAGTACTCTGTGGCTTTAGCTCCCTCAAGTGACTCAGCACAGGGACAGACAAGTGCCATGGCCAGAATGAAACAGTGGCAGAACCCATCATTTTGTTTTCCACAATTCAGATGACTGAATGGTAAGATCAAAATGCTTCATTAGGCTCTAAAACCACCCTGGAACATCTTCTGGCCTTTGTGAACAATCAAGCTTGTGCATATCAGCCAGGAAATAGCAACATTTCTGTTTGAGAATACTCTTATTAAAAAATTGAAGCAAGTCTGAATGAAATTGAAAGTTTAAGACATAAGAAAATTTAAGCTAAGTTGTTGAATCACTTTGACTATATTCCCTACATGGGAATACATGGAATTTTGAAAAGAATAGTCAAAGTAGTCTCTTACAAAATCAAAATTTGTCCAATAAAAAAAAAAAGATGTGATGCAAAAAATACACTTTGTTTAAGTACAAACATAAAATTCTTACCTAAAGAGATCATCAGCAAGTGATTCTTCTCTTGCATATCGGTTCTGCTCCTGAGAAAGTAAGTTTATTCATTATTTGATTGTTAAGGATGAAGCTAATGAACCATATAGCAACACAATATATTCTTGCACTAACAGTTTTTCCTCTAAGTTAATTAGCATGATTTATACCTAGGGTGAGATAATCAAGAAGTGTTGCTGTAACTGGATACCAATCAGACTGTGAAAACAGTATATGACTCATCAGCAAGTATTTTGAAGGAAACTACTGGGAAACAGTGCTATAGAACTGCTATGATAAAATAATATTTTTTTAGAACTTTTACATATAAAGGTGAATATTTTTAGAACAGAATTTTACTCAGGTATTTTCTGTTCTGTTCAAGAGTAGACTATCAATTGTACTGCAGAACTATTTGAACACAGCTGACCATACAGAAGCTCCTTCTATCTCCCTGTCATGTTTTACAAGTCACAAGTTCCACAATGCTTATTTTGCTCACCAAAAACAGGTCATTAAAAAAAAAGGTCATTCTCTTTTAGGTTATTGAATTTTCTTTACATCAGTATTTCTGATTATATGAATGTTACACGTAAAATCAATTCAAATAATCAGCAAAAAGATGAGCCTTACCACTGACCTCTGACTTTCAGTAACTTTCCTAAAGTACATGTTCCTATGAGCATGTGTGGACAGCTTACTGGCTGAGGTTTTACTTAAAAAATAAAATCCTGAAGTACTTCAGTAACAACCACAGGGTGGTATGACCACTTACATAAGTCAAGGTTTTATTTGATCATCCTTAAGAAATAATTCCTTACCTCCATTTCTTGCCTTAACCACTCTTCTAGCTCTGAATTCCTTTTAGCATGGTGAGCAATCAAATCTGATCCTCCAATAATGTATGGAAGTTGTCCTGCTCCTGGATAAGCTACCTGTTGGACAATAAATTATTACAACTACAAGGCAAGCATAGTACAAGCAAAAGATCTGAGAAATTCAGAAAGTCTATTCAGATATCACAGAAGAAAGTCAGCCAGTCTTTTCTTCAATAACATTCAGAGGTCATATTTTAAAGCAACTGAAGTTAAAAAAGCATTTACAGAAAGCTGTAACTCCTTCTTTTTACCAGAAGAAACAAACAACAAAAATCTGAGAAGTTAAATATACAAAATAAATCTGATAGTACATCAAATGGAGTTTGAAATATTGGTAAAAATCACTTTATATTTTATTGTCAAACTGCATAGGTATCTATTACAAAACAGCAGAAAATACTATCAGAAATTTAAAATATTTTCTAAAAATGAAACCTTGCTCCCTGAAAGTTAACAGTATAATATGGTATTTAAATTGTTTCTTTCTGTAGCTAGCAATTTATAAAAAATAAGATAAAAAATAAAAATCTTTAACATATTTCTACAATCTCAAGGCAACACTTTTTAGTATTTTTAAATAGTGCCATCTTGTGACCATTTCAAATACGCACTAACCTTTTTGAACGTTTTGAAATTTTTCTTTCCCCCATAGCTGGTACTTCCAGTAAGGCAACTGTTCTGTCTTGGACGGCTGACAATCAGTGATCTAAACTCAGTCACCAGAAGCCTGCTAGGAAGACTGCTGGAGTCATCTTGCAGTTTGCTGCAGTTCTTATGGGGGAAGAAAAAGGAAAAAGCATTCAAGTGTATGAACAGACGTACAGCATACCTAAGAGTATAAACTTTAGGGAAATTATCAGGAGCAGAGTTTAACAAAAGTTATGATTACAAAAGGGTGAGGGGAAGCAGCAGCAGTGCTAGAAGCTAAGAACATGTATGAACTTCTCAGATCCTTATATACTATGGATAGAGCTGTGAGCTCAGTACATTTTCTCTCATATTTAAATACACTGAAAAGACAGGATCAGTAACAATGCTGAAGTCAGTGTACTTCCATTTCACTAGGATTTTACTTCAGAATACAACTTAAAGTAAGACTTTTTTTCCCTCACTTTAGCTTATATCTAAGAGTTCCTTCTCTCCTCCTCTCCACCTTGTCTCTTACCCAGACTAATTCAATCAACCATGTGTACTCCAATGGCAACCCCAGCTAACTCCATGGAAGACAAAGTTAAACATCTTCAGCTCAATTCTAGCCTACAGATTTTTGGCCAACTCTAGCACTGTAAGCTGAATCTGATCAATGAAGCAATTTCTTCTCGTACATGAGAATGTTCCTATGCCAGCAAGTTTGCATGCACTCTTTGCTGCCTGTGGCTACATTTCTGTGGATTAAAAAGGATGTGTGGGTGCAGGACAAGTTCACAAGTAACAAACTATCTTTATGGACAGTTCCAGCCCAGATGCAGTATAGCTCTTCTACAGCAAAGTATAAAATAAAAGTCCTTTAATCTGAGCTGACCCTGCACAGCATTCCTTCTTCTTGGACTGTTCTCTGTGTGTATGCAAAAAAAAAGGTATCGTTCTGCCCCTTGTTGACTGGCTGCACTCTACTTTTTCTCTTCAGAATTTTTCAATTCCAGTTTCATTTAGCCTCATCTCCTTTTCCTCTGCCTCACTGCCATTCCAAGAAATTCTCCTCTCCTTTCTTCCTTCACCTCCCCTATAACAAGTTAGCACGCTATCTACTGTTAATCAGTCAATATTACATCTATTTTCTCAATGGTCCATCTCTTCCATTCTAGTTGTGATCTCCTTAGAGCAGACAAGGAGGTTATGTCCTTGTCTGATCTTTAAGCAGTAACCTAATCAGTACAAGCATTAACAACACTGAAGGGTTAATACAATTACATTATGTCTGTAGTTTCAGTCACTTTAAGCACCATCCAAATGCCATTACAGAAGCACACAGATGAACTACAGGTGCTCTGTTTTTCACAGTCAATAAGTTGGACTGTACTATTCAAATTTATGTATGATTATGTTAAGGAGTACTGTCTTCTGAACCTCCTTTATTCTGAAATAGGATCCACAAATATTATGTTCTTAAAAGGAAAATTTTGATGTGTTTTTGTAATGCTTCTTAAAGTTCACTGTTCAAACTTAAAATTAACTGGTTTCTTACCAAGACTGGTGACTCTTGCTTGATCTTACATTTCATTTCTGACGTTACAACTGATCCAAGTTCCTCTTCTTTCTATTTGATTAAAAATTTTTTAAAATAAAACAGTGAAATTAAACGGAAATTTAATTACAATAAATAGTTAAAAATAGTTTTCTGCTCTTTACAGTGCAATAAGCATTTTCAAAAAATGTAAATGTTTAGACAGAAGAGAAACTCCCTTGTACTTTAAAATTTTTATGATTTTATGTACATTTAACAATCATTAGCCTTTTTCTCTATTAAAAACTCACTAGTATTTTCTCATTTTTTTTTCTTTCTTATACCAGTAGCAATTTTTGTCCATCTGTATAATCTTCAAAATCCTGACAGTTTCTGAAAACTGCAAAGGCTTTTGACTATAAAAAGTAGCATTTTCAATTTGATATTTTAAATGTACATGTGTGCAGAAAGGACATTTTATTACTAGGATAACAAAGTATTCTGCAGGTTGATTACCTCCTGTAGCTTGAAACCAGATTTGCCTCACATAAATTATATTTTACATGCATAAAATAGGTCATTATTAATTAAACTATTAGAAGACTTCTTGCCAGCAAAAGTCATTAAGTACACATCAGGTAAAGTAACAGTTTAGTTGGACATAAGGATTTTTTTCCTTCACGATCCTGACAAGAAGTTGGACAAAAAAATCTTTCCAGGCCACAACAAAATTCAATAGACTATTGCAAGCAGCAATTTTAGTCTCTCAGTATGGTCAGGGCCAATAAAAAGCACCTACTATTTGATAGTATAAAAAGCAAGAAGCAAAATTCTCTAAAATTATATGATTTGTCTCTCTTAAAATTTGCCTGTTAGTAACACACACAAAAATCAGCATTATAATGAAGTTCAACATTCACACTTCGCCAGAAGCAAGCTCCAATTAAGTATCAACAGAGTGTTAAGCTGGTCTGAGCTAAGGATGCTCAGACAATTACTAATTCTCACATGATCCAAAGTATCTTGCAAATTCCAGTTACTCAATCATATATTCAAACTTTTAAACACTTAAACACTGCCTACACCATATAAGAACTGGACACTTTAGGATATACATTTTAAATAAACAAAAATTAAACCTGTTCTGTTCTTTCTCTTATTCCCTTCTTCATCATTAATAGTCTAGCACTCTCAACACTGTTTTCCTCTACAAATCTGCTTTTGTTTTTTTTTAATGAAGTGACCACTGTTTACTCAAAATCTACTGTCTTCTTCATATCTTTCAGAAAATACCTTTAGTCTCAAAAAGTAAACCAGAGCAATATTCAAGAAAACACAAGTTGTGTTTTGTTTTTGCTGTTGTTTTTGTTGGGTTTGGTTTTTGTTCTAAAATTTCCTCATACAGGAACTTTAATAATCTTTCACATGATGTCTAAAGATTCTGGCTTGTTCTGCTGAACATTACTGTGGTATTCAACAGAAGAAGTCAACTGAAAGTTTCTTCAGAAAATTAATTACATAAAAGTAATTGAGTACTATTTTAGTATAAATGTCAACATTATGATTAACACAATAACAAAAAATATGAGAAGTTCTTCTTGGACCAGGGATATATTCTGCTGTCTTACCTAGAGTATTTCTGGTAAAAGGAGAGGAAAGATTTCAGAATACAAGCAGCTTTCAATTCACAAAGAAAAAATGCCCTGAAGATTAAAAAACATTTAGGTAGGTGGAAAACTGCAATGTTCACATGTAATAGATTAATCACTCTGAACTAAAAATTGATGTATAAAATTTAGGCAAACTTTACAAAGCCATTTTCTGTATGCAGGCAGCCTCATCCTTAAAGGAGCTAACTGCATCCTTCTAACAGAGTTGCAAATTTCAAGATTAGGCACACGAGAAGAATATAAAACTTACCAACATTTTATTCTCCTGTCTCTGATTTACATTTACTTCTTGAATCCTGCTTCCTTTGGCTTCTAAACATCTTTTTTTTCGTGTATTTCCTTGAGCTTCCTGGTCATGATCTGCCACTTGATCTTCCCAGTCTAGGTCTCCACTTCCAAACACAATTTCCAGCGCTTCTGTATCTTCAGATAAATCATCTAACTCTTTTCTCTTCTGTGGTGCATGACTTTCACTCGAAGTGGTTTTAGTGTCTGTTTTATCACTTGTTACTTTGACACTTTCCCTCCTAAGCTTTATACCCACATCTTCTAATGCAAAATTTGGGTTTGGGTCCAGGATGTTATTTTTCTTCTGATGCTGTTTTGCGTCACTGTTCCAGACCGATAAAGTTGTGGGTTCAGTGCACTTGGAAAGAGGCGATGACCTTTCCTCCAGTTTTGCTAGTTTGGGTACAGATGTTTCCTCTTCGTCTTCAGCTCTTTCCCTTAGCCAGAAAGAAAGTACAAAAGCATGTTTGAGTATGACCAGCTGTATCCGTAACATAACAACTTCCTCGGCTTTTAGGGACTGCATTGTGAAATTTAAAGTACTCTTAAGGAAAACCTTGCCATTCTAGGAATCTGATCTAAAAGATTACCTTTTTAAGAATGTTTCAACCTGAAAGCACACTGATTGAAGTAAAATTATTTTCCAGAAACAGCACCAACATAACAATAAGGGAAGCAATGTCAAGAACATTTCAACGTACCTCTTTCTAGCTACCTGGAAGTAATTTGTAATTGAGTTGGACTGGTGACGTGAAGCACACTCGCTGGGTTTACCAGCTTCTGAAATTTTAGATGGTGAGACAGGTTGACTTTTTTGACTCAACCCAGATGTTCTGTTCCCTCTAAATATGGCTGTTCCTGCATTTACACTGCCACTTGTCCTAGTGTTTTTCTTTACGGTGGTTGTATCCTGGAAAGCCATTTTCCGTTGTTTATCCATCTGGGGAGTATTCTCTACCTCCATACTAGATTAGAGAGAAAAAAATACTAAATGACACACAGGAAGTTACCAGAGACATACCGAGAAAACCACTTTTTATAAAAGCTGTACCTGTACTTTATACTTATAAACAATGTGCTAAAAACAAACTGTAAAATCTGCTATGATCAATATATTTTTATAATTGTGAAATGGCTTGAAAATTTGTAATAGTTAAGACAGTCAAATCAGATACACAGTATCTATATTTACATCTGCAAAAGTGACGCAAGTCCTATGTGACGAATTTTGTTATCTAGCACTCAAAAGCAGAAATTATCTCACTGCAGACAAGTGACAGCAATTTAGTAAATGCCATTTCTAACACTGTGTATCTTTGCCCTTGCCAATGATACAGTTCCCCTGCCACAAAAGACTGCTTTATTTGCAAATATTAGAAACTATTTCCATGAATACTTTACCATGTCTGCTCTTCTGTATCAGCTATGTACAATGTGCTGCTATCTGCAGCAGCTGGCATTATGGTTTCATCCACAGCCAAACTCTGAGAAATGGCTCGGCCCACAACAGCTGATGCAGGAGTACTTTCTGTTACAGGTGCAAGATCAGCACACGAGAAGAATTAGAAGGTTAATATCAAATCTCTGTTTCTTCACACCTGTTATCACACCTTAGTAACTGATCAGGTGAGATTTTTGTAAAATTATCTTAGAGCAATTTTAATATAAAAATTAAGCAGATTTATTAATTTAAAAAACATGAAAAAAACCCCAGTTCCAAAGGACCATGTTCTTGGATTCAGCCTTAGTCAAATATTCCACTAAATTAAGTAATGGAATTTTGCTTAAATAAAAATTAAGCATAATGAGAAATCATACATTAACACAGATATACATAGTAAATCACGTGATATATATTTTATGCAAAACTGTCAAAGCACAAAATTCTTTACATTTACTCCTTTATGGTGTTCTCTAACATGATTATTGTATGTGGGATACAATTTTTTCAATTGTAAACACAGTTCCCTTTAAAAGCCTGATATACAGTCCACTTACACAATTTAATCAGATGACAACTTTTATCCAACTGAATCATTCAGACTGGAAATAAGTCAGTGTTTCTGATTCATTCAGTGTTTGCGGGGTAAGAGTTTTAGAAATTTAATCTGAGAATTAACTGTGTATTATTTTCTAAACTAACTGTTCAGACAATACATTATTTACAAGTTATTCATACAAGAATATCATTTGACCGAAATATTTTTCATGGCTCTGCAAGGTACTGCATGTATGTCTTTCTCTCTTCAAGACACATTTTTGAGTAAGTAATGTTCCCACATGTAAAGACAAATTTATGGGTTTTTTCTTTTGATTTTTTAAAAAATAATTGTAGGATTTGCTACCTGATACAACACTTCATAGAACAAAAGAGAACCTGTAAAATGTAACTGTGAAAATTTTACAGAAACAAAATACAGAGTAACATGAAAAGAGACTTAGACAAACAAAACCTCTTTTCTGTCTCTCAGACTTTTATTACTACCACATTAGCAAATACAAGCCTCAAGTCACAATTTGGAATGTCTACCCCCAAACTATTACTTTAGCAAATATGACAATCATGTCTCATTGTTTTTACTTCTTATGACAAGATTATTTTTAGTTTTGAATTGGGTGGGAGGTGCTTGAATTTTCCTAAAGCCAATTCCTTTATGTGCAAAGACAAAAAAAAAGCAAGCCTTGACAAATTAATTCCATTCTTATTCTCTTCTAACACTGATCTTTTATCCCCTCTATTACCCCAGTCTTGTATGAAAAGATAGAACAGCATGGAATTCAAACTACCACATACATATGAATTCAATGGCCACTACAAATATGGACTTCAAAAGACTTTTTTGAAGTACCTTTCTTTTCAAGATCAATGTATCTGCTTTTTACGCTATTTTACATCTACTTTTTATTTACATCTAAGCCATATAATTTTCATTGTAATTTATTGTAAGACCTCTAAAAAACAATTACCTCTTCAGCATTGCATACTTTTTTCATTTTAGTGGTCTTGCAAAACAAAAGAACTTGAACATGATGCCCCTACAGAAAAAGAAATTCTGCCTCTTTAAGGCTGTTAACTTATTACTACCCTTCTTCCAATTACCTTTGTTGGTACCAGCCTGCTTTTGAGGGTTGCAGTATTTTTCTGTAGACATGAAGATAACTGCCAATCCAATTTCTGCCTCTGGAATAGCCCTGAGATTCTTGCTGTTAATATACAAATAATAAAAAAAAAGACAAAAAAAATGTTTCTCAGTACATATTCAAAGATGAATAGGCAAATGGGCACAGGTATGGCAAAGTATGAAATGTTCCATTCCTCCTTTCAGTCTACACTACAATTTTTCACAATGCAGTAAATCAGCATAATTATCCTTTATTAGAGCCATGTCCTACATGTATGAACTCCCATGTTTCCTGCTCCTTTAGCCACTGTCTAGTCCCAGTAATCTGGTCAATACACCTCTCCCTTCCAGATTTTTGGGCATCTAACTAACTGTGCTCTCCCTCGGATTCAAAAATGTGTGAATGGAAAAAGTGACTTGAAAGATCTAAGCACCTCTTACAAGTCAGGTGCACAACCCCCAATATCCCCTCCTTCTGTACTACAGTCATAAGAAGAGTTTGAGTAGTCTTCTCTATCTACCAGGACAATTTAGGGAAACTAGGTTTATGTATAAAGGATTGAGATTTTGTTTTCTTTCATTGTTTTAATAAAATGGCATAGTGAAAATCCTAACATATATAAAATATGCAGGCTGGCCTCTCAAAGAAAACCTACCACCAAAACAAAAACTTATTTTCATGAAACAGCAGCTGCTCTTCAGAAAAACTGTATGTAAATAATTACACAACAATGAGCCACATGACCTCAAGGTGCCATCTCATTTCTTTTTGATGAAGTACATACACTTATTGAAATATCATAATTATCTATTTTCCATTCTTAGAATATATTGATTTTAACTTCTTTTAAATAGTAGAAGAAAAACTATTTGCTGTCTGTAATTTCAAAGAAACTTCATGACAATGAATTTTTGTAGAACTGGACCCTCCAAAAATGAAAAAGAAACAAGACCCCCATCAAATCCTCACAGAACTGCCAAGTCTCTTCTTTCCTGCTTCAAGAAATTTTAGTTATGCTAAGTACTGAAAGGAATGAAAAAATGCCCCCTTTATAAGCAGCCTCCTGCTCAAATATGTATGTGAACACCATGACTAAGTCTCTGCAGAAATTCTGAAATTACCCTTCGGCTGTACAAGAAAACAATGCTGCACCTTTGCAAGACAGTCAGAATGGAATCAGTCCAGTTTCTCATAGAGTCAGATCCTGCAATCTGAGAGTTTGTCAAACCCACATCAACAACACAAACTTCAGGAGAAATCAGTAAAGGTGTTTCTTTTCTTCCTTCTGTCATCAATTTTATTTCTCCTCCTCCAAGAATAATTGCTGGACCCAGTTTCTTGTGCTAAAAAGAGAATGCAAATGAAAAAAATAAAATCTTAAAATACAGTCAGCTTAGAAGCATCAGAATACTAAACTGTGATCCTAGTGCTTCTCACTGATACACTACTGCAGATGTAGTGTGTTCTGTTTCTCCCCTACATTTCACTTTACTTAGGCCACTGTATTGTAGGATAAATACACAGAAATCCTTCTTTCCCAACAAACCCAGAATGAGTGTGAATTCAGAATATGCTGAGTTGGAACGAAACCACAAGGATCATCGAGTCCAATTCTTATCCCTGCACAGGACCATCCCCAAGAGTCACATCATGTGCCTGAGAGTGTATAACTCAGAGAGAACAAATCTGTGCTTAGCCACCCCTGCAATATTTTTGCAATGTAAAGCCTGATTACCTGCTTAGCAGATAGAAATACAAAAGTTTTTCCACTGAATATTGTTTTCCTTTCATGATGCTCAGATAAATCCAGATTTTCAGTGCCAATGGAAGGCTCATCAACTGGAGGATAAAAGCTGCAAGAACAGAAAATTAAAGTTACAAAATTCAGATCTGCTTATCAGTACTGACTCACAGTCCTTTCTGTTTTAGAGTAAAGCTCTGAAATTAAAATACTGCATTGTGCTGTTAAAACTATTTAGATAAATATTTTTTCAAGATGACTGTTAGGAAGAAACAGAGCCCCTAATTTCTCAACATCTAAGATTAGACCAAGACTTTCTACTTCAGTAACTAAGACAACAACACTTTTAGGAATGTATTCAATCAATCTGCTGCATACATATTCACATTCTCACTAACAATACTGACAAATGAGACTGCAACCTCATCCCAAACCTACTCGAAATAATAAAACTCCACACAAAATTAGTCATCTTGCTTTCTGTAACCTTCAGCTGGGGACAGCCACCCCTCATTCTCTTCTGCTGTGTCAAGAAATCCTGTACCACTACACTCGATAACAGCCTACTTATGTGACAGAAGGCAAGTACACTTTTCTTGCTAGTGGGATAGAGAATTTCCCTGCAAATTCTCAACTGTTTTGTCCAATACAAACAAAGTCAGCAGGAGTTCAGCTGGGGAACAGATTAGGCAAAAGTAAAATTTTACCCTGAAGCTCTCATTTTTGTCACAGCCTGTGATCTCAGCTCCAGGTAATGATGGCATGCCCACATCTAAGACAAGTATCTAACTCATAATTTCAGGATAGTATTTATGGGATCTTTGAGCCACACACTCACTACTCCAGCAGTCCTAACAGAGTAAGGTGAAGGCACATGCTAGAAAGAAGGGAAACTATAGGTCAATTATAACCATATTATACTACATCTGTACCTGAACAGCAGTTTATGTACATCGTCTGGCTGATGACAGAACTACTTATCTTTATTCTGACTACTGATTACACATTCTTCTCACACTAATACACAGGAAAAAAAAAAAGATGCTGAAACACACTAACAAAATCTGCTTTAACAGCAAAGATTAGCAGATTCTAAGCAAGAAATGCATTCCATGAAATGCTGAAATATTGAAGTTCTTGGAAAAAACGGAGCACCTGTAAACATAAAACCATTCCTCAGACACTGAATATTCATAGACTTTTATCTGAAGAACACGCATGTAAGTTTTCTACTGCATCCAAATACATAACTCAATTACGATAGGCTAGATCGTACTATATAATTACAGTTCCTTTTAAATAATCTCTTCTTTTGTGTTCTTCACAATCAATTCTTCAAGCTTTATATACTCAATGAAAATTAATCAGCCTGAATCCATCGGGTTTCAAAACAAGAGTATTTGATAAGTTTCAGCAGCCTGTTCAAGGTTTACAAAAATACTGTTCCACTGAAATTGAAATAGATATGAAAAAGCCTACTAATTTAAGGAAAGAAATAGGGCAACTCAGACTTTAGTTATAAGGCCAGAAGACTTCTGACACTGAGTCCCATAGAGACAGTTATTAAGATAAATACAGGGAACAAAGTCATCTTTAAAGACAAAAGGATGAATACAAAAGGAGAAACAGCAGTTTCCATAACATTGAAACCAGACTGTAGTTTCTCTATAAATACATTTCAAATCTATGGTTTTTTAATTTCAGCAGACAGCTTCAACTGATCATCTCCTCCTCAAAAAAACCTTTGATTTTCCATAGAAACTCCTATCCAAAGCTGATCTATGTTCAAAAGACAACAGTCTTTTACCATCTTAGGATTCCAAAGTGCTCCTTGTACTCAGGCCCCATAGGCTTTTAATACTAATACCAGTATCCAGAAAAGACCCATTACAATCTTGAATCTCTGAATAAACAGATTTTAATTCTTGGTGAATTTCTGTTAAAGATTCAGTTACTTTCCTACGTTTCCAAAGCCCTGCACTATTACTGTTGGACTGCAGGAATAAAATATATTATTTTATACAGGGCTGCACTTATGCAGCCATTAGTGAAATTTTCAGTCATTGTTCTACCTTGCACAGGTTGTCAGAGAGTACCAGAGGACTGGGGCAATGCACTTCACCATAAAAAAACCTGAAGTAAGAATCTCACATTCATACAGGAACTGTAGGTTTGCAATTCCGTGAAGTCTTAGTACTAATAAAAAAACAGCTCTTTTTGGTTTTGGTTTTGTTTTTGAACTTTAGTATAATATTTCCCTCGATTTTTTGAGGGGACCAGATCTCCAGTAATAGTAAAGATTTAGTTAACAGTGTCACCCTGTATTACCACGTCAATATACCTTTCTTATTTCATACCCAAACTACCATTGCCCCAAGTGGTTTAGTGTCCTGCAGATGTACCAGCTCAGGTCAGCTCTAGCTACAGTGCACAGTGCAGCTCTAGCTACAGTGCTACAGCTCAGGTCAGCTCTAGCTACAGTGCTCTAGCTACAGTGTAGAGATTCCCCGTCAAAGCTGGAAGTATTTTTGGAAATTGAATTAAAATAGCTGCTACATAAATTTTCGGTATCTTCCCACAAACTACATCTCAAAAATATTAGCCATTTAAAACACAGCAATTATTTTAAACATAGATCTGTGTATGACACCAGCTGTCTCATTTAGCTTGATGCAGAGCTCTCTTTGAAAGCTACACGATGGATATACTGCTAGTGTCACTCAGTTCCTCTCAGGGTCTTAAGAGTTAGCAGAAATATTTAAAAAAGTGAAACATATCCATCTGCTTCTATTTTAGCAGCACTTAACAGCTCAATTATACTGTCACTTCTGTATTAAAGGAATGGACAACACATTTCCCAGTTTCAAGAACCTGTTTGCTTGTTACTGTAACAGACAGGAACAGCAGTTTTACAGTCAGGGAACACTAGACTGAGTAAGTTTCAGATTGCACAACCAATTAATAGCTTTTGATGGCTTGCATAACCTGTACTAAAAAAAAAACCAAAACCCCACAAAAGATCTGCCAGAAAAAGTATTTCAGAGAGGACTAAATAGTTTGTTTAGTTTTCTCACATTCTTATAAAACAATGCAGACTTTTAAGTAGAAGGGAAAGTTATAATTCATTAAGATTCTGCCTTTCTTCTGAAACTGAAGAGCAAATGAGCTTTAAACCACTCACAGATGACTGATTTGACACATTACATAAGCCCCTGCAAATGTAAAGCAGCACCTAGAAACTAAAGAGTACTTCCTACCAATTGCTCCAGATTGGCACCTATATTGTTCTAACCAGGTCCTGTCACGTTCTGTGAAATATACTTTACCATACACCAAGCACAGCTTATTGTGAAACCTCTGCAGCTTTGTGTCTATTACCACATGTGCATCAGGTTTTTTCAGCTGCCCTTCCCCCCAAGCCTCCTTCTTCAAACTATTCTTCAACTATTCTACCAGCAGACCCACTAAAGAAAATATTTTAAATTGCTGTGTCCAAACACATATGCCTATGGATACACATATCAATGTATATCCATAGAGCTATAAAACCAATTGACTCCCATTATTCTTCACCACTTATTTCCCCCAACTTGAATGAGTAGTGTCCAGCATTCACCTGGGTGTAACAACACATGCAGAAAAATCATGATGTCATTTACAGCAATTTTACAAGTTTTTAACGTCACTTAACAGGAAGAAAAGTTCAACATTATTTTTCAAATGCCAAGTACCTTACGATTTCCATTCATTACCTATTTAATTTCACAGTATTGTCCAAAGCATGAAGAACATGAAGAACAGAAGCAATAAAAAAATGTACCCAGGCAGTTTACCTTTTAAAAATACATAATGAAAATTTCTCACCTGCATAAATCATGTGTTCCTACAAAAAAAAAACAAACAAACAAACAACGCAAGCCCCAAACAAAACACAACCCTTTTCAAGGTAAAAATAGTAGCAACACAGGCTCAGATAAAATTGTCAAATACAATAATGGGACTATATTACACTTTCCTACACAGAGAAAATAACCAGAGAGTTATTTCATCACATTCCATGGTATTTACTTATTCCAAAGTAACAATTCCCTTTTCAAATTAATTTAACCATGAAAACAATGAGTATTTTATTCGCATCTAGTGAAGACCAATGCACATTAGTATCACTTCATTTCATAACAGATAATTAAAAACCTCTGATGTTTCAGGGAATTCAAGGGTCAGGCTAACTCTGTTTTGACCAAAGTTTACCGTACACTCAGTAACTAATCACACACTGGGAAAATATGTTTACATAATGAAATAAGCTTGACACAATTTCTTTTATAAAAATGTCATTTATTTTTATGTATCAACTCCCAAAAGTATTTGAATCAACATTTAAATTCACTAACAAAACAAGTTCTTACTTAGAGACGGTAACACCTCTAAGTGTATAGTCAATTCCAAGAGCTCATTTTATAAATCTAGGCACAAGATCAAGAAAATGGCCTGACTATTAAAATGTGTGTCATGTTAAGCATTCTTCCACAAATAAAGTTACTGTGAATCACATATTCTGTCAAAAATTATCAGATAAACTGTAGCTGTTTGATAATCTAACTCCCATGAATTTAATCCTGTGACATAGTAAAAATGATGATTCGGCAACTTACCTTTCATGATTTGGCAACTGTTGCCTGGACTGAATAGCTCTGATTGATTCAACAAAAAACTCTGGTTTTATAATTGGTCGAGCACAAATCAAAGCACATATAGTCTGGAAGGCAAGAAAATATATGTTTACTGCGTGGAAAAAATTCACATAGAATATGGTTCAACTGACATTAGCTTTCTGAGATCTTAGATGTGGAAAATGTCACACAAACAAATAAAACAATACTGATTTTTGCTACCGAAAAACAGGATAGTTTTGCTTCTAACAGCCTAGCTCTTTTAACTGGTGCTTTGACAAAAATTATGAAAATGCAGAAGGTAACTGATGAAAATCAGTAACTCTTCAAATTTGGCTTTTTTCGTTTTCTTCCCCTCCAATCTCCCATCGACATATACCTCTTCTAAACTTGGAAGAGCTGAGTGCATAATTTTGCAGAGAAAAACCTTGAGTAGACCTAAAATTTAAATCTCATTTGTGGGAAAACTGCAAAGCAACACTATCGATATGCAAAAGTTCAACATACCTTAACAGTAACTTTTACTGATACCATGACAAGGTGGGTACACTCTTTTGTCCATTCATTCACTACAAGGCCTCCAAGCTGCTGAATGGCTTGATTTAAAGCAGTTTTCTGAGCTACATCTAAACATGAGGAGCAGACAACCAAAGGTTCATACTCCACTCTGCAAAGAACAAGTAAAAGTGAACTGCTTTAGTTATTCCAGCCAATCATTACGATGGACAGAGCTGACTTAACTGTCATGTTTGTGTCTCAGGGAAATCTGAATTAAAAATAAAAAGACCCATACTCTTACCTAGATAAAAGACTGTGCTACAAAATTTCCTGAAGAGAAATTAAATACCAATTTTTATTCGGAAAAATTGATGACATTTTGACCTGATGTCTCAAATATTTCTACAGACTTTTGGATCTTTCACAGACATCATGCAGAATTAGTGCATCAAGAATAGTGCAAAGTCTGGGAATATCAAAAGAAATTTGAGTGTGCTTCCAAAAGCAAAAGCATGCTCAACACAACAGTTCATCAACAGATTAGTACTTAAAAAATACAAGTGTCATAGAATGCGAGTTCAAGTAATTTTTTCCTAACACTGTCATTACCCTTGACCATAAGGTTATTTATATTTGTAGATCTCCTATATGAAACTCAGCATATCAAATTCCATTATTTGATTTTAGTCTACAAAGTAGAAAGAAATGTAGTACAACAGCCACGATGTATCTGGTCTCATGACATGAATCCTGTACCACATTTCAGGTATGTTTCTCTAAAATACAAACAATAATTTATTATAGTAATTTGAGGAGAATGCTGGGGTTTTTTCTAACAAATAATACCAGCAGCAGTGATAAAACTGAATCAAATTTTAAGGCACAAAGCCACCTGCTCATTGCTTTAACATTGACTTTGATGGTCATTAGACCTTTTCTGTTTACCTGCCACTTCACTTCAAGGAACGCTTCCTATATATAAACAGATAGCACTGGCTACCATGTAAATTTGAAAACAATAACAAGTTGGGTTTGCTGAAGAGAGCAGGCATACGTCACAGGAACAAGCATTCAACGCCTAGCACTGCACAAAGCATCCTCCAGCTTTGTTCTTTCCTCATTACATTATCAGCAGCTAATAAGGGCTCAGACAAGCTCCCTCCATTCCCTAAACCTTTATTAGAATGTTTTAGGATGTTTTTCTTTGCCTACAATAGCCTGAAAACAGTCACTGTACATGATACACCTTCTAAAATGCCAATGCTTTACTATGAACAACTTAAATCTCTTAATGCCAAAATAAATTATACTATAAAAATATAATGGAAGACTATTTCAGAAACAGGTGTGCAACACAGGCAGAATACTACTTGTCTCCTTCGCTTTCTAAAAATTCATCACTGCTGTATTGCTTGCTGAGTCATATGATGTGCTAAAATACTCTTTTGAAAAACTGAACTTTTTTTACTTGATATTTTATAATCAAAGCACTTACCTAAACTTGCTCTCAAATACTCCAAAGTTGATTCTGTCACCAGATTGCAAAGACACTGAAGTGCCATTGAGTTTTGATCCATTAACAAAGGTACCATACTTAGATGTATCTTTTACTGTTAATATAGGGACTGAGAGAGATTGACTCTGAAAATAAACATAAACAAACCATTATAGTTTATCAGAATGCGAGTTTTGTCAGAAACAGGTTGCTATTATTATAGAACAAAGCATTGGATAAATAAGTAGCCTACAAAATACCATCTTAAATAAAGACTTTTGACAACGAGGCTGACTAAATTATTCATCTTCTGGTTTTCACTGTGGAAGAATGAGAGAAAACACACGTGTTTAGCTTCAGACTGTCTGTGCTTCTTACATTCAGTCTTTCTGGAGACTGTGCGAGGCAATCATTCACTGGCCCAAAGCATCTGATAGCGCAATTTAGCAAGGCTCCCAGATTTATTATCGACATTTTTCCCTATATTTCAGCCCTTTCCCTCACTTCCTTCCACAAGGACTGCTAGTCTTCCCCAAGCTGCAGGGCATGGAGACATCGGCTTCTTTTGAGAAGATGTTAGACACTGCCAGATTTCCAGAATAGTTCACAAGCCAATGAGAACATTGTTAGCTTGGTTTTATGACATTCTGCCACACAGTCACATGCTATTTCACAGAATCACACAACAGATAAGGTTGGAAGGGACCACTGGAGATCATCTAGTCCAACTGCCTGCTCAAACAGATTTCCTTAGAGGATGTCACTGAGGGTTATTCCCAGGCAGTGTTGTAGTATCTCAGGAGATGGCGACTGTACAACCTCTCTGGGCAACCTGTTCCAATGCTCAGTCACCCACACAGTAAAAAAATTCTTTCCTCTTGTTCAGGTAGAACTTCCTGTGTTCCAGTTTCTGTCATTGCCTCTTGTCCTATTGCTTGGCACCACTGGGAAGAACGTGGCTCCATCCTCTAGACACCCTCCCTTCAAATACATGTAGACATTAATAAGGCCCCTTTCAGCCTTCTCTTCTCCAAACTAAACAGGCCCAGATCACTCAGCCTTTCCTCATAAGTGAGGTGCTCCAGTTCGCTTATCATCTTTGTAGCCCTCCGCTGGACTCATCTAGTATGTGCAGTATTAAAAGGACAAAGTCATGTTATGTAATTTATTTTAAACTCAATGTAAGGTTAATAAATTAAATTCCTACTGACTGGCTTCAAAACATTCACAAATGCTGCAACACTTAAGTAACAGTAAATTGCTGTTTGCTAATTCTCCTCAGTACATTTTTATTTTCCACGCCCTAGGCAAATACAGAATTAATGACGTGAAATGAAACAGAAACTAAGCCTGCAGTAAGACAACTGAAGCACTTTCCAGAACCAAGACTTAAAACTTGTCCATATAATGAAATTTAATTGCATAAATATCCTGCTATGATTATTTTAATAAAAATTGCTAGTAAATCTTCACTCTGGGATAAAAGGGAGTTTGGACCACTAAAATTATGCCACTATATTTCTCAACAAAGACAAGCAAACCTAAGGAAACAACAATAAATTTCAAGATTAAAAAAAGGCAGGTGATCAACAGTTCTACTCAGAGCATAAAATGCTGGCAAGAGGAAAATGAGAGTATGCACAGTCATGGTAGACTGAATTGTCACACAGGCCACTGATAATGCAGTAAAATGCTGGCTACTTACAGGGCTTGTTTCAGGACGACTTACTGTCAGAACTGCATGACTTCGACTGATGGACTGATCATCCTGAATTAAAATTGCACAGTTTTTGCGTCCAACAACATATTCTGTACCACTTAAAAGCCGATATGGCTCTCCTGGAAGTAAACAAGAAACAGAAAAATATCAGTTTACAAAAAATGCTAAAATACACAAAGCACATAGGAGACATTCAGAAGTGTGTAGTATATCTGAGACTCAACTCTGTAACTAATCACTTATTAGGCTGATCAGAATTATACATTTAGTTTATAGATGAAACATCTTTTTTCCTCTCTCCCTTGATTTGTTCATCATAAAAGGACACATTTTATGATAAAGAAAGCAGTTACAAAAGGGGCACAAAGCAGTTACAAAAGGGGCAACACATTTTTTTCAATAACAATATATTTTTACTAATACTCTGCCTTTTCACTTTTCTCTAGTATTACTTTTTGAAGATTAAGTGCTGCATATGGAAGAAAAAAAGATTACAATGTAAGATACCTTTTCCAAAGAACACCTTTTTTAAGAGTACATAAGTTTTTGAGGGTATATAATTTATTTACATGACTGATTAAGAGATTCAGAGAAAAATGTCCTCCTAATTAATCTAAGGATATCTGCAGTGTAAACCAAACTGATCCTTAGTAAGTTCAGCCTCTGACCAATGTTTTAGCATATCTTTGGTACCTGTCACCTGGACTGCATGGTGGCTTCCCAGTGAATGGACTGACTCCACCCCAAACGTGTGCTACTTCTGGTAAACAGAGCCAGAAATGCTTCTTGATGGAAATGAGTAACTACAGATTAAATTCTAGTTTTCAACCCCGGGCAAATAACTTTGCAAATATGAACTGTGCAGAAATAATCATCCTGAATACAATGAAAATAGTAGCATTTTGCCACCTCATTAAGATTTTCCAGGCAGTAAGAGATAACTCAGTTCATTTCAATAGGATTAGGTACTGTTGCCACTAGGAGATACATCAAACATCCCAAATTCAGTCCCAGTGAACTAGGAAATAGAAAGCAGATCCAGTTGGGATAGAACTGTTCCTTATACAGCAAACACTAAAGAAGGAAAGTATATATTATATGATACCTACTATTAAAGCTCTTATGGACCAGGAACAGTACAGGGGCAATTTAGTTTCAAAACTCTGCATCCAAGAAACTCCCTGAAGTTCAATACTTGGTCCTTGAAACATCAATACAATAGTTAAACATCGCTTCTGAAAAACACCTGAGGTTGCTGCCTCAAAGCTCAACTCTTCAGGCATTTCAAAGCAGCACCTGAAGACACCCCATACGGGTTCGAAAAGAAGCCCTATTAGATTTAACAGGATCTGTGGTCTGCAGTGCTCCAGGGAAAAGCGGAGGCTGAGCCGTGGACGAGCGCCCAGGGCAACGAGGACTTGGACACCAGCGGCCCCAGGCGGCCCTGCCCGAAGAGCAGGGACACGCGAGCCCGGCCGGAGCCAGCCCCGGCGGCAGCCGAGACAGCGGCACTCCCGGCACCCGAGCGCAGCGCCCGGGCCCGCGGCTCCGGCCTCACGCCGCCCGGGGACCCGCGCAGGCGCCGGCCAGGCGGGGAGGGGGCCCGCCGTGCTCGGGCCCAGCCCGCCGGAGCGGCGACGGCGCCTGGTGCTCCCTCACCTTTTCCTGAGGCGGGCACCAGCTTCCACATCCTGGAGCTCTCCGGCGAGCCGGGACGAGGCCGGAGCGGGGAAGGAGAACCCCACGCGCCGCCGCGACCCCGCGCGCGGGGCCGGGCCGAGGGCGGGGCGGGGGGGAGGGCGCCGCCTACCGGGGCCGTGGAGCTGCTGCAGCCACCGTCCCGCGCGCGTGCGCGGCCGTGGGCCCGGCGCGTCCCAGCGCGGCCCCGTCACGGCCGTGTCCTTGTCACGGCGGAACCCCCGGGGAGCACCCCGGCACCCCCCGGCACCCCCCGGCACCCCCGGGGAGCTGCCGGTCCCTTCCGCTCCGTCTCAGCGTGGGCCGGGACTGACATTTTCAGCCGAGGCCCCGCGGGTGGGTTGTGTCCCTCTGTCCTGCCCTTCTCAGTGCGCTCATATCCCTAATAAAATGCATTGCATGCGGAACAGGAAACGTGCTAGACATCTCTTAACTGAAAGAAAATTTTGGAAAAAAAATAGAATTTTAAATAAAAAACACCTGGGAGCTCGAAGGCCATTCGGCAGATTACCAAAGACTTGACTTACACTGACTTTTCTGGAAACAGCAGAGGAAGCCACACGTGCATGACTGCAGTCACACACATTTGAGGAATGGCTCAAAATACCAATTTCTCCTTGTGCTAGGCAGCTCACAGGGAGCAGAGTATCAAACTCCTCATGTCCATCATCACATCAGCCGCAGTTGGAGAGCAAATTCCTTCCTACCGGGCAGTCGGCTTACTTCTCAAATAATGAATAATGGTAATTGTTTGCCCCTTAACTTTGCAAAATAGTGAAATCTTTTGAAGTTACAACCACAGTTAAGAAGTTTTAGTATAAAAAAACCCACCTTGGAGTTGAAATGGGGAGGGGAAACTCAGGATAACATTTTTCTAATAGAAAATATTAATCTAAAACATACAGAAATGTTAATATGAGCTGCCAGAAATGTTTCTGTAATATCATAATCTGTTTAATCTCCATGTGACTTTAAGTATCCTTGGTTCTTAAATGTTCATTTAGATACCCTTTTATATTTTCCTACACTTCTAAGATAAATGATCAATCTCCTTAATCTCTTTCCTTCTGAGTTTTCTCCATCTTATTTGCTTGTTCTTTTTAGTCTCTCATAATTTTGCCATTTCAGTTTTGAGCTAAGGTGACCGGAAATATACAATATAACCTGAATGAGACTATTTCTCAGCTTTATATAACTGTACTTAAGTATTTTCTGTATTGTTGTCATTATTTTATGTCTTATTTAACCTATTGGCTTGACTTCTGTGACCAACCCATATGACAAATCCTAATCATAAGAAACTGTATGAATCATATAAACCCCTTTAAATTTTCCTGCATTTATCCAATTTTATTTTACTTTATTTTTCTGGTATCATGGTTTCCCATTCATTTACCTTCTAGACTTCGTGAGTTCTTGCGGTCTGACTGACCTAGCTGTCTGTCCTCTAATATTTGTTGGTTTTCTATTTGTTCCTTTTTTCAATTCACAAATAAATGATTCAGCAGAGTTCAAAAGTTAGAGACTATCAGAGCAGAAAGGGGCGTTTCAGATACTCATATGGACCACAGGCTTAACTTGCATCTAACTTTTGAAATAGTACCACACCTGACGCCTGTGAAACCGTATCTAAACAGAATATCAAGGCAATCTTTCATTAAACATTTGCTCTTAACAGAAATTTAGGTCAGCATTATGTCCATATTTTATTCATGACCTAGGATTTTTTTTTTCCTTAGTAGTCTTTTGTGTCAAAAGTCTCTTTTTTATTTTTAAACTTTATCATCAGGTGCTATGCATTTCTTTCAACAAGGTAGTTTGAGTGGCAGAAACAGCACTGGCATGCAAGTTTACAATGGTGACTGAGGTTTCTGCTGAACTCTGTTATGCCACTTGGCTTAATCCATGAAAGTCTAAATTATGCCTGCCAGCTCTTACATATTCATCACCTCTTAGGTATTTCTGTAAGAGGTGATTAAGACATCATTACCTTTGCAGAAGTCTAGTGACAGACAGACACTTTCAGATCATGCTTTTCTGGGTATTACATTTTTTGATTACTTTTTCCCCTACAGATGTTAGATTTAGTCTTATAATTTCTCATGTTACCCTAGAAGATTAAAAAACAAACAAAAAAACCCCACCAAAAATCCTAACAGATACTTTCTGCTTTAAACCTCCTGGCATGCTTTAAAACAGAGATTGGATGCTTCAGTATTTCAGTTAAGCTGTTCTTAAACTCTTTCTCAACTTGTAAATCACCCAAAATGAAGTAGAATTTTAGAAAGTGGGTTAGTAGCCTATTAAGCCAATTTATTTTCCTTGTAAAATGCTGGTAGTTCTCCCTTCAATTATATTTTTAGATTTTTTTGTTGGTTAGGTGATTTTTTTTTTTTTTATTTTTAGTTCAGTGATTACATATCTCTTGAGACTCAGTATGTTTTGAATTGATTAATTTTAATCAAATGTTACCATGTAAATCTTAGAATGTCAGAGTCTCTAACACCTATCAGATATGCAGTTGTAATGGTACTGTGGAAACTACTGCCTAGCGGTGTGGCACTATTGCTTCAGTGGCTGCCAGATGGTGTGCAGCACCTAGATGTTAGGTACTCTAGAACTTACTGCACCAACAGAGCATCAACATTATTTTTTTTGGTTTTTTTCTAAATGTTGAACATTTAGAAAAATAGCTGTTTGGCCATTTGGCAATGATGACTAAGCTGTAAGATTTGAAGTCTGATGCCTCTGAACTCCCATAGCAGCGTGTGTTCAGTTTGCCCTGAATTCAAAAATTGATAGCATAGACCTAGTGATAGTTTTTTTGTCTTTCATGGCAAGTTTTGTAACTGCACAGATTCATCAAGTGTTGTCTCTTCCCCTCAAAACCAGCAGCTTTATTAAATCTCTATGTTCTTACAGGTACCATTCATCTTCCCCCCACCCTTACCCTCTCATTCCTTATGGGCAGATATGACTCTGCAGGTTTCTCTGCCTTATTACCCAGGCTGTGCAAATGGGTAGGTATCAGTCAGTCATCACCTTTCTGGTTGGCCGGTCTATGTGCTCAACATAGATAAACTGAATGTCTCGTTACCTCAACATAATCCCCTGTCACTGAATGGCTTAATGTTCACAGACTGCTCAGGCCTTTTCTGAACTCCCTTGACAGTGCTGAATTTGAAATGAGGAATCTTGATCTTTCTGATAAACTTTGCCTCATGGCAGTCAGCCAGTGTTGGTGTGTGCAGTGGAGCCAGCACAGAGCCTCTGTGCTGCTGCCCAGGAGTGATCTGTGAATGCACAATCTCACCCCAAAATCAGGCCGCATGTTACCCACTCCATTTGAAATCCCATTTATCAGACAGCTGTGCCACCCCTTTTCTCGCATTCCTTAAATAAACAACTCTCCTCCCCCAAAAACACACACTAAAAACTGGCCACCATGCTAAGGGTAGAGGGCACAGAAAATCCTGGGTTTAGATCACAAGGAAAAAACCAACAAAACAAAACAAAGAAAACAAAACAACAACAACAAAAAAATCCCAACCCAAAAAAAAAACCAACCAAAAAAATCCAACCACAACAAAAGGAAGAAGATAGTTATTTAGTGTCCTTTAAGTAGTGTTGAGTAAATCACTTGCAATAATAAAACCCCAACTCAGTGAAGCAGTTAGCCTGAACCCTGACCCTCACAGCTGGAACTGGAGGTGCCAAGGTGGTGGCAGTGGCCATGAAGGTGCCCCTGTGTTATCCAAAATAGGTTCTTTCTCCCAGTGTGCAAGAGGCCAAATCCTCACAGAGTCGACGTATTTGATTGATTTACAGTTCTGTGCAGAAAGGGGTGCTGGGTGATAAATCCACAAAGCCAGCAAAACGACTACCAAAACTTTTCACTGCATATACATTTTAGCAAATAAAGACATTAACATTCATTGTCCTCTTTTTAAAGAGTATTCTATCTTCTACTGGTTAATGATTCTGTCACTTCTCAAACTAAATAGTCCGCAGGCTCAGTCTTTCTCTTTTGGGTCCGTGGGCGTCTTCCCCTGCCGAATTAACTTTTACCCAGTCGGAGTTGATTTCACCATAGTTGCTGAGTTGTCTTTATTAGTTTTTTTCTTGTCTTCGAGTTCTGCCAAATGTCCTTGTGGTCTGTAAATTCTGCATTCTTCGTGTCCACTATCAGTGGTACATCCTTTTTCCCGAGTTTTGTTAACCTCCCGTCTGAGATAGCTGAAACATAGATAGCCTTAAACCCTTAACAAGGCAATTCTACCGACAAGTAATTTGCCATTCTAACACCTGGACGTCGCTTACAGCTTGCTTATTAGCTGCTGCTTCACGGACTAAATCTCCTTTCTTGTGGATTACGCTTGAAAGTGTACAAAGATCAAACACCAAAGGACATCCTTTTTTAAGAAAATTTTTACACATTCCACACTTCGCAACACCTGAGGTGGCGGCGGCCTCGCCGGCTCCGTGCCCTCAGCGGCTCAGACGGGCGTGGCCGCGGTGCCCGCCCGGTGCCGCCCGCAGCGCCGCCCCCGCGAGGCAAGATGGCGGCCGTGGCGGCGGCGGGGCTGTGGCGGCGCGCGGTGCGCGGCTCCTGTTTCTGTGGCACCGGGAGGGTAAGGCGGTCCCTGCGCTGCTGGGGCTCAGCGGGGACGGCGGTGCCTCGGGGGTGCTTCGCCACCTCCTGCCCCCCTGCCCCGGTTTGCCGGGGCGCCCTTGTCCCCTCTCAAGCACGGCGGGACCCTGCGGACGGTGCTGCCCGGCGGGCTCCGCCCGCAGCCGCGGAGAAAGCGCTCTTGCTGTCGTCGGAGCTGTGTCGAGGGGCGGCTTAGGCCGGAGGAGGTCTCCGGCCGCTGGTCTTGGGGAAACAGCCAGGAACCCCCTCGAGAGTGGGGACACCCCTCGGTTCTCCTCAGCTCCCGGCTCTGTCTCGGAGCCCCCGCAGAGGACGCGGCCCCTGCCCACGGCCGGGCAGTTCCCGTGTCTCCCGTTTCAGTGCGGGCTGTGGGGGCATTGGCGTCGCCCTTTGCCCCCAATACCA